TGAAATGAAATGAAATGGGGTTTAACGTCCTGTTCTGCTCCTAAATGAAGACGGGCATACGCCATACAGTGTGCTATGAGGGAAATTTTGCCCGGGCAGCGGCGCTACGGCCTACTCTTATATCGAATTCCAACTGCCAAGGGATCTTTTACGTGCACGCTAATATGTACACGGGACCTCTGTTTTTCGTCCCATCCGAACGACTAGACAGTTGTCCTTGTCAGGCCCTTCGTCCTGCATCACTGACAAGGGGAAAACACGCCGGAAAATCTGGATGAACTTTCTCGGCCAATGCAGGGATCGAACACCCGACCTCCAGGCTAGCGAGTCAGCGTCTTACCCACTTAGCCACGTGATCCCCCTAGTAGACTATGAACTAACGTCTTCTTGTGATGGGTCCCCACACGTCCGAGGTGACAGGACCCCAAAGTTTATTTCGGTCATGAATATACCTAATGTTATTCTGTAACAGGTGCATTAAGCTTAGTATCCCGGTAACGGTTTTACAATGTGTGCATTATCACTAATCATTTCGACCTTTCCAGTCATTATATTAAAGCATCTTTTATGCGTATGGTTTGGTAAAAGGGAGACAACTGCACAACAGGCCATTGACCATATTGTGTTTTCTCTATTGATTTCTTTTAATGTCATTGGAGTAAGTATGAGATGGGTACATATGCAGACCTAACGTGACTCCTTTGAAAGTAGGAAACCAATCATTTTAAAAATAGCATGTCACAAATAAAATATCGGTAGAGTCCGGATTTACAGTATCAAGCATTTGTTCGGTTGTTCAGACTTAAGTAAATATTAATATAGCTAGGAATCTGACCGTGAAATATGTGATACCAATATCCAATATTTAAGACACTAAGAACATTTTAAATTCAGCACACCAGTCGTATACTCTATGTTTTCGCAAAAAAAACACATACTACAAGACAATACAACAGAGAGAGAGAGAGAGAGAGAGAGAGAGAGAGATTTTAACGTGAAATATTCACATTTTACTTCTGTGGTACTACTGCAATATATATATAATGTGAAAACACCTGTATTATTTACGCCACCAGCACCGAGTTTTTGAACGTACATTGAAAAAGACACAAAAGTTTTTCTTAAAATTAAGGCGCCAAATTAAATATTCAATAATACTAGATCCACTCAAGTCCAAAACAATTCCTTTTATAATTCAAAAATATAATTAACACTACTTGACAAGGAGTAAGCTTTACCATCAGTTATTTGGTTAGGGCTTAAAGCTAAGCCCATTGTAGATTTCATCATACGACCCTTCTACAAGTCTCTCGCCGAGTTGGTTATCGGAGGGCCTTGTCGCTGGCTTTGCATTTACCAGGTCACATTTTTCCAGATCATTAATAAAAAGTCCTTTCAGTCAGACATAAGTTGAAAGATAAATTGTAGTGTTCTATTTCGGCCAGTTGCCGACTTTTTCAATGTTAAGCTATAGAGAAAAAAAGCGACGTAGCCCTTCAAAAAGCGACGCGTCACCCCTCGTATCGCATCGCTTTTTTTTTAAACGGTTTTGTTTATAGTGTTGGTGATGAAATTCGCATGTACCAGGAGAATTCATTTGCAGTTTATTTCTGAGTTCAATGAATAACATTTCCGGCTAAAGCTAAGCAGAGCTAAGCAATTTCTTTGACTTTGATTCTTAGTGTATAGTTGATAATCAGTTTGATTGCTCGATACTTTTGAAAAAATACACGTGCAATTAATTAATATGTGCCATTTATTTATTTCCGAATTTCGGCAGGGGACATCAGCCTCACTGTTGACTTGTTGAACCCTGTGAACGCTCTAACAACAAAAGTTATTATCCGATCAGTATGAAATTTATAATGCATCATTTAGATTAGTGAAACAAAGAATCCTATTGAATTTCATCAATTTCCGTCAATTGCTTCTAAATTTATGGACTTTGTTTTACTTTGATGAACTTGTGGACATTCGAATGACAAAAGTTATAGTCCGATCCAAATGAAATTCATATGAAAAAGCCGGTCAAATTTCAGCAATTTCTGTAAATTACTCCCAGAGTTAAGGCCCTTGTTTAAGTTTGTAGAACCTTGTGAACCCTCAAACGACGAAAATTATAATCTGATCTGTATGAAATTGTCTTGTAAATAAATGCCTCCAGTTATCTACAAACGAATAAATATGCGACAAACCTTGTCGACCATCGGAGGATTTAGCTGCTGTGGGTTGCGGTGTGCGTATGTTTCGTTGCCTGACAACCTATCTTTTATACTTTTAACACCTTGTCCAAATAACTATTTATTAAATCAACTATGTAAAATTTTTATGTTTCTTTCCCCTTCAGCTCTCCATTTGATTGAAAACCCTATATCTTGGAAAATCATAATTCTACCCTCTCTATTTGATGAAATATGAACTGGTTTACACATAGGCGCACGGGCTCGATGACAGTTAGGGGGGGGGGGGGAGGGCTTTACCCGAAATGCCGGAAAAAATTTCGGGTTTACAGACAACGACGCCGGTCTTCCTTGGGAGGCGAAGAAGCGGAGCTTACTTTGTATGGACTCCCCCCCCCCCAAGAAAATTTTGGAATATTTGACGACTGCAAATAGGGGCGGATTTGGGCCGGGAACCGGCCCGGGCTGCCGTGTCGGAGCGGCCCCTTTTACTGACCGCGGAGCCCGGATGGGGGGGGGGGGTCCGGTGGCTCTCCCCCGGGAAAATTTTGAAAAATGAACCCCAAATATGCGATTTGGTGGCATATCTGATTATAATCTATGTCAAATAATATAACTCATAAATCGATTAATTTAGGCCAAAACCCCGATCTGCAAGTAATTTACAACCATTAACCTGTGAAATTATCATATCGTCAAATTATTAATTAACGTGTTATCATTGTATCGTCAAGAGTCAAGAGTAGGCCTATTTAATTTTGACCCACACCCAGCACACCCGGCCCAGAAAGTCTATTATACCAGCCCATTTCAGACCCTAGTGATGGCGTGGCGGCCCGTTAAAGCCACCGGCCACATACAACATGATCATCATCGCTCCATGGCCGGTCCAATACACCCCCCCCCCCCCCTATATAATGTTCAGCACAAAAAAGGTTTTTTTAGACGAATTGGACAAAATTATTTTTTTCATTTTTTGTCAGACCGGCCAAACACGTTTTCCTGCTATTTCAGCCCGTGAACAAAGCAACTTCAAAGTGGTCTAATATAGCCTAATTAAGATGGCTGACTCGAAATCCAATCAATCGTTTACAGTCCACGGAGACGGGACTGTTGGGACCAAATTTAGAGATGGGTTCCCGCGTACAATCTGGGTGATTTAATGGTATATATGGACCAAAAACATATTCAAACTAATTAATTTGTCATAATTATGCTTCAAATCCTTCTCAAACATTGTAATTGCGAAGGAATGCCCTGCTATTAAAATTCGATCAAACCAGGTCATGTTTACACGTCACGTCTTGGGAGTCAGAGGAGAATTCATTGCATACCTAAGACGATGTTGTCTTTAATCGCTTACTTTTTATTACAAATATCGAATCCTAATTAAATTCTCGGATTATCCACTACCCGCGTCTTTTTCCGTCATTTTTATCTCAGAAAGTATTGTACGTCTAACTCTTCATAAAGTTTATCAACTTGTACATCAAGCGCTCAATGTTCGCTTGTGACCTTTGACATCACGCGTGCAGAAGTTCCTAATCGTCGGGCTATAGGGGAACCCTTACATTTTTGTCCTGTATACGCTCCATGAGTGTTTGTCGGGGAATCCAGTATTTTTCTAGTAAAATTGGATATCTCTACTTTCCATATATACCAAAATTGCCATACTTTTATTGGAAATAACCACCCGATAAATACTTTTCTGGGAACCCATCTTTAACTGCCGCAAACGCGTTTTCCTGCTATTCCAGCCTGTGTAAGCAACACCAAAAGTATCCAATGGTTTTGTAACCGAAAACCCATTCTGAATTCCAACAATCCAATCAGACTGTTGCAGCTGCATTCACAAATAATAATCGATGCCCGAAAAATGTCACACAAAGTAGAGTGGCTCCAAACAAAATGTTTTAATCCATAGTCAACTCAGTACAAATTCGTGGTATTCAATTAGAAGAAAAGTAAAATTAGTGTTTTATTAGGGCTCGGTGACAGTTAGGGAAGCAAAACTAGAAATGCCCGAAAATATTTCAGGTTTACAGACAGCGGCGCCGGTTTTCTTCGAGAGGCAAAGAAGCGAAGCTGACCTTGTATGGACCCCCCAAGAAAAGTTTGGAATATTTAACGGCCGCAAAAGCGTTTTACTGCTATTCCAGGCCGTAAAATTAGTGTTTTATTAAATTTCGGGCACTTTATTTTGCCAAGAAGATGAAATAAAATTTTGTTTTCACTTTACCCGTCTGCCCGAAAAGTCAGCTTCCCCGAAAGTTAGCCCCCCCCCCCCCCCCGCCTCTTACGCCTATGGGTTTACACGGGTTTATCTTCGATAATTTTGAAGGAAAATGTAATTACATTAATTGACAATCGAGACTAGCCAGGTAATAATATATAAACCAAAACTAAACTTTAACCGTAAGAGAAACTGATACGGGGGGGGGGGGGGGGGGGGTAATTCTTAGTCTCTGATATCAGGTCTCATTCTCCACACAACTCTCACTATCCTGCATTCTCCACACAAGTCTCGCCAAAACAGTTAATACGAGTTAGATGCTTTTACAGCACTCTTCCAAATTTACATTGCATGACCGGAGGAGCACTTATGTTTGATCGTTAAAATGCAGTTGGTGGAGTGGGGTGTCGATTTGTCACTGTACACATATTTGAATTATAGATAGGTTTATCCAGTCACAATGCCAATGGGTATACTAGTCGAGAGGTTTATCCCCTTCACTATCTAACAACATTCTCATTTCTTTAAATACATATCACAGATCTTTGGATAACCTCTTAAATAAATACCTCCAAGAGCCTTCTACAAACAATTAACCATTTTTATTCTCTGAAATAAATCTGGGACTTCTACTTTAAAATTGTTCTTAATATAATGAATTATGTAATATACACATTATTTTTTATTACAGTTATTATTTGATTTGTTTCCATGGCTCTCCATGAATATTTTATACACCTATAACATTGTAATGTTGATAGAATGATCTCTATTATAAGGAAATGGACAGAAATAGAAGAGGGTGGGGGTGGGGAAGATTGTCCCAGGTGCGAATCATGGTGTGAAATGCACAGAAACTTGCCATTTATCACACACAGGAACCACATTTCAAGGGTAGCACATGCAGGGGTGACAAGAAAAGTGTTCCTTATTTTTTCAGATAACATGAAAAAAAGGTTCAGCTATTGGAATAATGGAGTACACGTAAAAAATCCCATATGATGAATAGGCATGAACACCACTGACCAGGCAAAAACTGTCCTTTATATGATTGTACACGTCACATGCAGGCCGGACAAGAAAAGTGTTACCTAGTCATTCAGAAAAACCAAGGTCCATTCATTTAAACAATGCAGCGCACGTAAAAGATCCCTTAAAAAAGAGTAGACGTAAACACCACTGTTCAAACAAAATTGTCCTTCCTAGCTTTGCACACATCACCACAGGGGAATAATCACTATGTTAATAGAATAAATGAGTCTAGTTTAAAATTATGAGCCTCATTACAATATTTTGATAGATTTCAATGTTCCTGTCTTCATCATTCTAAATTTATTGCATGTAGAATTTGTTTCCCTTCATTTTATTCAAGAAACCTGTTATTCAACACTTGAAAGGTAATGGGTGTAAGTGACAACAATATTCATCCACATTAAATGTATTATTGCTATTATGATGTTACTGCTTAGCAGTTCAATAAAGACAAAGAATTGTCTACAATTCCTGTGGAATTTTATAACATTTTACATTCCATAGATTTTATTTGTTTCAATCCTTATCAAAATACAAATTTTATACCTCCTCGACCTTTGATCAATGGATCACAGTAAACGTTTGGTTTATGAGATTAACTTTTGAGTTCTTTTTCTGTATCAATCTATAAAGTTAGAACGGCAACCTTTCCCATCTGTTTTTGGTTACACAGTAAAAGTATTAGTCAAATGGCCTAGTGTGGAGTAGAAAGTTTAAGCTCCTTTCTTTTTTATTCCATATATGAAAATTAACTTTTCATATGAATAATGAAGGTTTTACATCCACACACAGTCTAAGTTATTACCTATTAAACAACATTGTTCCTTTTCTTACAATTTCAATCTTCTCAAAGATTGGACTTTTCATGTCCAGGTTATTCTTTCAACCAAAAATTTAATATTTTCTCACGGAACTGGTGTATTGGCTTTCCGTAAAGCTAGATAACCCATGACAATATCTCCTGGTAGAATTCTAACCCGTGAAAACTCTTCAGCAGTGGAATAGCGAAGTTTTGTTTGAGGATCAACATAATTTGCCTGAAATAATAAAATGAAGGATAACTCATGATGGCTGAGGGAAATAAAAGGCATTTGGGGTAAACAACAACCTATTTCTGAGCAAGTAAGATTTTCAGGCAATTGATAAATTCAGGCAAAAGTTGTACAGCCTGCCCAATGTTTCACATGGCAATGCAGAAATTATTCTATAAGAAAGAAACAATGTCACTACATATCAGGTGGTGTTTAATGTTTTCACTTTTTCCCTCTGTCAAAAAGAGAGACAAATAGGGTTTAACGTCCACTAAGTATAAACTTCCCTCTGTCAAAGATATAGACAATACAGCAATGTTAGCTCCTCTTGGGACTCAAAGTGAAAAAGTTAGCGAGGAATCTCAGCAAATATCAGTCAATAAATTTTAGTGTTTTGGCCAAATTGGCATTGATTCATTAAAGGGGATTTCCCAGGACACTATACATAAAGAGAAAAACTATGTCATTTCGGGACTAAAATATGGTAAATTTTATTTCAATAATTTGCTTGCGCGTAGGTGTCTTTAGCAGTGGGGGAAAACTGGAGGACCCGGAGAAGACCCACAAGATTGAGCAAGCGACCCTACTCCTTGTCGGGTTAAAGCTTAGGATCAAAACCACGCAACTTATGGTTGTTGCCACCATAAATAAAACGAATAACTAAATATATAGGCAAAGCCAAATTCCGTGATCTGAAACTTTCAAATCAAAATATTAGGCTGTTCTGGACGTTACTTCAACTGTATGAGTGATTTGATAATCGTGATGAATTATATAGACATGTTTATCCAGCTACTTACACAGTGAAAAATTTGGGGACTTGTGGCCATCCCCACATGAGAAATACATGTTTTTCTTTAAGAAAGTATCACAGAACTTCAGACAGTTGAACAGGAATATGATAGAAAGATTTCCAAGAATCTTTCACTTCAAATTAAACAGTATTATTAACTAAAATATATCAGGTGGTCCAGAAAAAACGAGGACATATTGACTATTATTCTTGTACACTGAAGTACAGCTTGTACTGTGTTAAGACTATTTTAGAACTGGACCAGCAATTTGAAGTGAAGTGGTCAATCATCCATATTGTACTACATGTGAAATTATTCCACTATAAATAGTGTATTTGTTTTTTCTGGGCAAGCTAATGCCTCAGAAAGCTCATTTAAATTGAAATAGGGCCTGTTTGTTGGCGTTCTTATGCATTTTCATTTTATCTAGACAGAAAGTTGAGGAATTTCCATTATACCGATTTGCTTAGGTTCGCTCTTGTGTATACCCACAAATATGTGTCTAGTCTTACCTCTAGGCCTGACAAATCTGAATATTTTTTTCCTGGTTTAAAAGATGGTGGTGCATCAATAGAACCATCTGGAAGAAAAATAAGACATCAGTTTACAATATTAAAATCGACAGGATACTGACTATATCATAATATGTAAATTTTGAGGAGTTCACACAGCTGACAACTTTTATTGTCTGTTGAAATTCGGAGAATTGTTTGTAAATCATAGCCCAAAGGCCAGAATTCAAGTCTAAAAAAGACAGGGCTTGTATGAAACTTGTTCACTATCAACCAGAGAGAGAACTTGGATTTAAAGATCACTTGACATTTTGCGACTAACATAAATTATGGTACAAATTTATTTTAATAATTAGCGTGCGCATAGGGGTCTTTAGCAGTGAGAGGAAACGAGTGAACCCAGAGAAGTCCCACAAGGTTAGGCAGGCGACCCTATTAATTTCAGTCAACAAATATAGTGTACATGTATTATTATCTAAGTTAAAAAAAAAAGTTTGTTAAAAAAATTTTAGCTACATAATCATATTAATGTAATGTGTTAGATGCAAATAAAACAAAAACTTTGCTGTCATTTCTAATACATTTTGAATAAAAGTTACAAACATGTTACATCTGTGGCTTTCCATGGCAATGATCTATCAGTAGAAATGATCTGTTTCAAATTTTTCCAAACTCGAGTCTTCTTGCCCCCAGCAGCTCCTTTACTTGAATGCTAGATAAATAAAATCAATAGTTGATTCTTATCAATATTAAAATCTTATCAAAATCTTACAGGTTACTGTTCACTAGACTAAAATAACCCAGGCCCTTTAGATGTGGGGTGGTAATGTTGCTAAAAAAAACAAGGGCCCAGGTCCAAAAGGGTTCCAACAATAGGCCTACAGATACCGTACATCAATGGTTCAAAGTTTGATTCTATTCACAATTTGAGACAGCACTGCTAAACCATACTTGAGGAACGGACATTTGAACTTTTAATCTATGGGTGTTAATAAACAGTGTTTATGGAGTTAAAACTACCTTACTGCAAATGGGCCATAGTTTGGTTTTTTAGGTATTATGAGACTAAACCCCATTCTTTACCCCATTCATTATTTAGAATGGTAAAGTTACATGTGCAATATAAGGAGTAGGATTTTGCTTTGGTGGTATTGTTTTCTCCTACTCTTTGTCAAATCATAAAAGAAATAAAAATATAAAATCACCGACTTTACTTACGATAAAATTTGGATCTTTGAAAATTGGTTGAGCTTTCTCTTGGATCGGTATAGTTGGTACCTGTATAGGAGCGCTTGTAACATTTACAGAAATGTCATCTCCTTGGACAACAACTGTTTCAACAATAGTCTGTGGCGTATCACTTTCTACTTCCACTTCACTAGTTGGTATAGCAGCTATAATAGATTCAACCTAAAAAGAAGTTGCATATTAATAATTTGATTACATTCATTATCTTCTCAGACCTCTGTTAAAGGTCAAAAGAATGTCCTAAGCTAGTGTATAAACCATAACATAATATCTTTTTTTTTATTGTAGGCCTAAATCGTTTCACAGTTAGCAACACGCTTGACTTGTGGCTTCTGTGTGGTGGACAAGATCATCAATATGAGTCCGTTTGTTTCAATTACATGAATGCAGGGAAAAACAAACGATCAGATGTAAATGTTTACCGTTGCCACTCGCTTTCTTTTCGGTGGTGTCCCTCCATTTGGACTTGTTTTGGATTTGGATGATTTTTTGGATTTCCCACTGGGGGTCGCCATCTTTTTAAGGGAGGCGACTCTGATGGAAATCATTTATAGTTTGATCTACCAGACGCATTTTTCAAATAACTTGCTGTTGGATTTTCCATAGCCCTGATATCCGCGAATTCAGTAATGGCGCACGTTGTTTAGACGTAAATTTGTTATTGTTAAAATACAAAAACAACCTTTAAAATGGCTCGAAATAGTGAAAAGGCGATGACAACATTGGCTCGTTGGAGAGCAGCGCAACTTGGGGAGGTGCAGGAGAGAGAAAGAAGGCCATTCTTAGCAACAGACTGTAATGAATTGCCAAAAGCTGAGAAATGGAGAAGACAGATAATTGGTGAAGTTTCAAGGAAAGTAGCACAAATCCAAAATGCTGGACTGGGCGAGTTTAAATTAAGAGATCTGAATGATGAAATTAATAAATTGTTACGTGAAAAGGGTCATTGGGAGGACCAGATCAAAACACTTAATGGCCCAGATTACAGAAGAATTGGTCCAAAAATGTTGGATCATGAAGGCAAGGAAGTACCAGGAAATCGAGGTTACAAATACTTTGGGGCCGCTAAAGACTTACCAGGTGTTCGTGAACTGTTTGAACAAGAACCTCCACAAGCTCCTCGTAGAACACGTGCTGAATTGATGAAAGATATTGATGCTGATTATTATGGGTACCGAGACGAAGATGACGGTCGAATTTTGCCAATGGAACAAGCCTTGGAGAAACAAGTGATTGCAGAAAAAATTAAAGCATGGAAAGAAGAGCAGGAGAAGATCAAGAGTGGTGAAATAAAAATAGAGGAGAATATGGAAACGGAAGAATCTATTTATAAAGCTGACGATTTAGATGACGAGGATGTGATTCAAGATTCGTTAGTTAAAGTGATGGAAGCAGATAAACAACAATTTATTGCTCATGTGCCAGTTCCTTCCCAAAAAGAAATTGAAGAGGCCCTATTAGTGAGAAAAAAGACAGAATTATTGAAAAAATATGCTAGTGACAGTTTACAAGAAGAGGAGGGTGAAGCAAAAGAAATGTTAGGAGTGTGATAGTGATCATTGATTGACAGTTATGATAAAGAATTAACTGTGAGCTTCATCATTTGAAAAAAACTGTTTGTGTGGCTTATGGTTTGGCAGTACATATGCATGTATGATGACAGATTTGTAACTGTGATTTATAACCTAGCCAAAAATATTTTGTTTTGTGAAAGGCATGTAATTTCCATTCCAATACAAGATTGTACAAAGTGTGGTGTATACAGTATCTTGATTGATATGCAAATGAGATAATGAATATACATGTATTTATATACATGTAGCGTGAATATATTCCCAATAATGGTAACATGTTTGAAACTGTACACTAGTTATGATCCAACATCAACCATTGTTACATGTATATGATATTAAACTATATTAATCAGCATATATCACTACACTGCAAAAAAATAGCATTTGCTATGTGAGGTGTGGATGATGAATACATGTATACAACTATGCCAGTATGCCTTTTGTGTTAATATGCCACTATAAAGACTATAATGTCCAATTATTTTCAAAAATTGTATCAGAACAGTACATTGAATGTATGTACTGTCTTTTACCAATAATTTTCTTGCAATTTAAATGGTTTTTATCAGTCTTTAAATACTGGTCTGATTTCCTTAACTTTGTAAGTTTACAAATAATATTATTATGACGGCATCACTTTCTACCATACATGTATTTTGTGTATATATTCATGTATAGTAAAATTCATGTATAGTAAAATTCATAAATATTCTGTTCTGTGGATAGAATTAAAAACCGGTACTTAAACATGCATTATGCAAGAGCAAAATCTGCTTATTACAAGTCTTTCTTTATGCCTGAAACTGAAATGTTATCTAAATTATCAATTCGACATTAAGTAACTTATCCAGACCATAATAAACTCTCAATGTCAAGGCTAGCCGTCGATGTTGGCTGGATTAGATTCCTATATGCCGCTTAACGGCCATTGATAATTAAATCAAAACAGTGGATAATCGAGACTATGCTGTTTATATTAATGATTTTAGTAATGATGACCAAGACTATGGAAAATTTCACCCGCTCCGTTCTCGGCTCATAGTGGATCAAGTTGACTGAAATTATCAGCAAATTATCTTTACACTATCTAGTTTTTAACTATTATAGCGAAAACAGCCATCTCTTTATCTTATCTCCCATAATGTAACTTTAACATAAATTGTCAAATAAAATGAATAATTTATCAAAATTTTGCTTCAAATCCTTCTCAAAACACTGTTTTTGCGAGGGAATACCCCAACTATAAAAAATCTATTTAAAAGAAGTCATTCTTGTGTCACGTGTCTTAGCTGACCAACTACCTAGCAACGGGTGCGAAGCCGGAGGAGAATTCATTGCATACACCAGACGATGTTGTCTTTAATCGCTATCCATAAATCATAAATATCGAAGCCTAATTAAATTCTCGGATTATCCACTGCCTACATTTTTTTCCCGAGGTTTTTATCTCAGAAAGTGTTGCACGTTTAACCCTTCATCAAGTTTATCAACATATACATCAAGCTCTCAATCTTCTTCTGCTACCTTTGATGTGACGCGAGCAGACAATCCTAATCATCGGGCTACCGATTAGAGAAACACATACATTTTTGTCCTGTATGCGTTCCAAGTTTTTTTTTGTAAGGGAATCCAGTATATATTTCTAGTAAGATTGGATATTTTTAATTTCCATATATACCAAAATTGACGTACTTTATTCTAAATACATGTACCCACCCGATAAATACTTTTTTAGGAAAGTGTCTTTAACTCTTTTATAAATGAAATATTTTTTAATAGTGAGGGTTGGTAAATTGAATAATTCTCGACAACTAATCCTTGATATCTATACAGATTAGTAATATTATGTTGAATGAAATTGGATGTATAAGAAACATGCCAAGTTCCATCTAATCGGAAATGCTATTTTTAAGCAACGGAACAATTTAGAAACTAGTTTTAATAACTATAACGAGGGACTCTTTCGTGACTAATGATCGGTGCCACAAACTATGACCAAATATGGATTACCAGATATTTGGCGTCACTGAACCAGTTTATTTCCAGGGCACCTACATGTAATTAACCAATACTTTACCTTTTCTATATATTTTGATTTTGAACATTCATACATTTGCTTATGGTAAAGCGCCTTTGAGCACTCTTTGTGGAAACGTCACTTTATATAATTATATTCTTAATAATAAAATAAAAATATTCGGCAATTGCGTACGTTTGGATAAACGCTCAACTTTTTAAATAGATTTAATCTCAAACTGCATACAGGTTGGTTCATTATTGTTAGCAGGATAAAAGGGGGTTTATTCAACCGTGCACAATCTGGTTATCATTAAAATAATTTTAAAAGGTATTTTGTTTTGTTGTGCTTTTTTTTTTTATGTAAACTGGTATATTTTATTGTAGGATAATTGTTGTGGAAAGAACAAAGTCAAAATGCTCTTTAGATTATTTCCATTTAAAAGTAAAATGCACACAATTCAATTTCTACCTGCTCTAATATGATTTCGACTTTTCCATTTCTCATGAAAATGGCAGGTTATCAAATTGTGCCATTTACCCAACCCAAATGGAATTATAAAAAAATGAGATATAAAGGAGAATCAGCGTGGAACAGTAGTATTGTGTGTGGTGGGGGTAAACACTTTTTGTTCGTATTATTAATGAGGTTTCACACATCGCCAGTGTACAATTAGGTTAACAGACAGCGTCATTATGAAACAATATTGTTTTTCTTCTTCTTTTTTTTGTAATTCTTATTATAATTTAGTTTATAACATTACTTATGACTCATTAATATATACTTGTCGTTTTCGCGGTGGTTTTCCTTGATAGAATAGCAATTGGTATTGGGTATCGAATTCGGAAAGGCTTATTATAATTGAATAATAACCACTCTTTTATTCAAGAGCTAAATTTGCCTATTATACAGGTCTTTCTTTAGGCCTTAAATGTTATATAAATTATTAATTAGACATTTATGACCATGACATAAACATAATCAACTGTCGATGCCATCGGATGCTTGAGATTTCAACTAGATTAGAACACTTCGACCATTTAATAATTTAATTTAACACCGAATCAACTATTTCATTCATTTATTCCAATGAGCCTTATTCGTTATTTGTTTAAAATTATTATTTCTGATTAAATGAAAAAATAGAATATAATTATATAGATGTCATTAATTAGTGGACGTATTATGCTATCGCTCCTTCGCAATTTTTTGTGGACACCCTATAGGTCACAATAGTTTTATCCGATTTTAAATTAATGAAATTTAAAATAATGTTTCTATCCCAAAGATCGCGGATGGGTTCGGTTTGGGATAATTGAGACTTTGTTTATTATCGTAACAACGGTAACAATGACAATCGAGGCTACAGTGTTATTGAAATGGGAATTTCTTCACTCAGAGTGAAGTAATTTGACTAATTATAGCGAGAACTGTCAGCTCTCTTTATCTAATCTTCCATAATGTCGCTTTAACCGGACTATTGACTCAGATTGTAAGAAAGTTTACTGACATGGTGTGTCAATCCTCGCTTGTGCTTCCTCCTGAGGTTAAGAGCTAAATCGGCCTATTATTCACATAATCAACTCTCTAGGTCATCGGGTGGACACGGTTTTTAATGGACCGAGAACACGATCGACATTTAATCATTTGATTTAAAATTGGATAATCGAGACTTTGTTTATTATTGTGGTGATGAAAATCGAGACTACGCTATTCTTCAAACATTCGCAACTTCACTCGGAAAAAAGTAATTAGACTGAAATTTTGAATTTATTCCATTTTCATTATCTATTTTTAAACTAATAATGAAAGAACCCCCATTCCTTTATCCAAATCTTACATAATGCATCTTTATGTTCTTTCTAATAGTTCCAAAAATGATAATGAAAAATGAATATATTAAAAATTCCATTCAAATCACTTTATTCTGGGCGAGGTTATCGGGGTTTAAAGTTGTAGCATAGATTGTTCAAGCAACGGTACTTGACAGTCGAGACTAAGTCTCAATTATCCATTTTTAAATTAAATTATCAAATGGGGACCGTGTTTTAATCCTTTTTAAGTCTCGGTCACCAGATAATCTAGAGAGTTGAGTTAGTTTATATAATATACTCTTCAAACAAAGTAGGGGATATTCAGAAACAATACAAAACTGCGGAAATGCACTGCTGTTTTTATTAGAGGTAACCAGTGTATGTTAATAACAGGCCAATTGCCTACACATGAACATAAACAGTTCATATGGGCGGCTTATCTGACGGCCCCTTTTCACTCGCAAAGAGATACACTGTCAAAAGTGAAAATGGACGTTTTTGATTTTTGTCTTAATAATGAGTCATTGCTCCACCAAACCTCAGACATTCAGCAATTCGTCGTGGTATGCTCCTAATCAACCGTCCAATTACGATTTGGGGCAATATGACCCACTCCTCTTGCAGTGCCACGGCCAGTTCTTGCAGTGTTGTCCGTTGACGTTGACGTCGACGAACACGTCTCCCGATCAAATTAAACGTAACACACTAAAGCAAAGATACGCCAAACAGTAATTCGTATGCAAGAACCGATAGGAAAGCAAACATGGATAGATAAACCAGCAAGCGGCAGTTTTCATCAACCCTTCCTTGAAGTGTCAAACATGTGCAGCTCAGTGGTTCTGTTGGGGCGATAAGTTCTTCATCTGTGATCATACTCTCAAAGCATGTCAAATGTCCACGACTATTTATCACATCGCAACCTGCATAGGTATTTGCATTTCAACATCCCCTACTTTTTTTGAAGAGTATATTTGAAGCTAGAATAAAGATCTGCAATGGGCAGATTTAGCTCTGACATAATACAAGGATCAAAAGATCCCTTAGACAGCTTTGGCGCACAGTAACTTACTGTCCTGGTTTATGGCAAGGGTCGGATTAAGAGCAAGGGTAAGGCAACCAGGGGGCTTGTGAAAGAATATGTGCCCTTTTTACTGTTGATGCAAGGTCCGCGGTAACATGTTCAGCCCTGGCTATGGTCCTGATTTGTGTGAGCCATTGAGTATTTATGAGGATGAACCATTTCAATTACCAGCATCGTCCATCAAAATATCCAGTAAAGTGACGAATTTGAACAGTTTTACACGGCCAAATTTAGTGGGTAGCATTGAGACAATGAGAGCAGGAACCCTGTCGATTTCCCGTTGGTCTGTCCATCAGCAATTTCTTGTAAATGTGATGGAGGCAAGAGTTCTTGTCATATGGGACCCTGACAAGATGAACACTATTTTCCGTTCTCCGTTCATCACTTAGATATGTGATCGTATCTTACATGCAAACCGCTTTAGGATTTCCGCACTGTAAGATACACTCGAAGCGTGTATTTCTATAATCACAGTTAGATCTTTTGATGACAAAGGAAGTCATGCCATCTTGACAATTTTTGGGTATATCTTTTCAGACCAATATTTGATTTGAGAGGGTGGTAGTACCAACAGTGAGGCTGATACCCCCGCCAAACTGAACAAGTAATTAGATGACGCACATTTTAATTGCATATTTTTATCTTTTTAAAAAGCATCGATCATATTTCTTACCAGTGCTTAATGTGAGCAGAACCGATGCATTTTAGTAGCTCCAAAGTCTCGACCAATCAATTGCTTAGTCAGGATATTCAAACTTCGTCAAGGTAGTTTTACCATTCTCACCCAATTAGAATCAAAGTTGACGAGCTCCAAAGTCTCGGCCAATCAAATTGCTCATCATCGAATTTAGTATTGATGTACTGATATTATACTCCCCGAGTTTGATGTACATGTAATGAAACTATACACCAAGTTTCACCACTCTCACTTAATTGAAATCAAAGTTATCATGGCCCCTAAACATCAACGAAGAAAATGTTCGTTATTGAACTTGGACAAGACACTGATGTAATAAATCTATAGGAAATGCGCATTATCGAACTAGTCAAGGTATTGATATGATATACGCAAAGTTTCACCATTCTCAATTAAAACCAAAGTTGTCGAGCTCCAAAGTCTTGACCAATCAAATTGCTTATCACTCTGCTTAACCTGAGCCGAAATGTTCATTATGGAATTTAGTCAAGGTATTGGTAATGAAACTATACACCAAGTTTCATCACTCTGTCTCTGACTTAATTAGAAGCAAAGCTATCGTGTCCAAAAGCATCGTCCAATCAAATTGCGTACATTTTAGTCCAAGGCTAAGCACAAAATGCTCATCATCATCGAACTCAGGCAACACCTACGCCAAGTTTGAAAATTCTAATTAGAATAAGAGTGATTGTGTCCCAAAATGTGTCACGGAGAGGCAATTAAATTGATTGTATCGTAAGTTTTAGTCTTTGAATGCCGAACTGCTTTCCTGGACTCTACATAAACTCTTTGTATAAATGTACCAAAATATAACGGTGACTGGTCTAAGTCACATGTCACCATTTTACTTGCTATGGCAGATATACATTTGTTTGATTCTCTAGATCTGTGTCCACAAATATTTATTAATTAAAATTATTTTGCAAACCTCGAATAAAGGGGTGGGGCTACCCGAAAAATGCTTTCTGAAATTCTAAAGCTAGTGAATTGAAGATGGCACAAATAGTTAGGAAATGGAACAAGGGAAAACTAAGGTTTTTCATTATTTTTTCCCAAAAGATGTGTTACCCTGGTAACAACTTTTTTTAATGCTAGTTTTCCCTTGTCTATTACATTTCCCAAATACTTGTACTATTTTCAATTCAATAGCTTTAACATTTAAAGAATAAAAATTTCCGGATAGCCTCCCCCTTTAAAAGGCAGTTATCTCCCTTATATATAAACAGTGATCCTTAACAGTTATTAAAATCTTCAACTATTTGACAATTCTGCATTTTTAAAAGTTAAAGCTCCAGTTCCATTTTAATGCTATTTATTAACCATAAAATCAGGAAACTTTTTCAATTATCTCCTTTTATTCTTTATTTTGTACTTATACTGGAATTACCTGCCTTATATACCATTTTGTATTTTCTTAGCTATTAGTAAGCCAGTACCTTACATTAATGAATCAAATAGCTTATCTCTACTTTGCCAAGGTATATTATAAAACCTTAGACCAAGTTATCGAATCCAAAACAATAAATAAATCAAATTATTGGTCCCTACTTAACCCAAGCAGAAAATACTAATCATCGAATCCAGTCAAGATATTTACCTAATGAAAATCAACATTCTACCTCACTTGGACGCACAGTTACAAGTTTTCTAAGTCTCTACCAACCAAACTGTGAAAAACTTTGAACATTCTAATCTACATGTATAGCTTGGTTACTGAGTTCCCTTGTCTCAACCAATCAAAGTGCTTATCTGTTAAAGTTCTCATATTATTGATGTAATGAAACTATACACAGGATTTTATCACTGTAACTTATCACGATCCACAGCATGGACAAATCAAATTGCTTATCTCTGCTTAGCCTTAGCAGAAACAATGTTCATCAACGAACTCCAGAATATGGAAAACACTACACACAAAATTAGTTTAAAACCATATAACTTTATTCTATATTTGCAGCAAGTCAATACAACACCCATAAATTAAAATCCTTACATTATAGAAGAACAATATATTAATATAATAGAAATTTCCAAACTAATGTATAATGAGGTCTACCCATTAACTGATAAAGTGTGGGTTGTTATATTCTACACGCTGGTTAAATTAACCACATGATAGATAAATGATCTTGTACACAGTACAGTTTTGTACAAATTGTTTTTACATTTGAATGCTTTTTTTTTGTTCTTTTTTTTTTATAATTTTGTCTATTTATAAATTTCCTAGATGAGAATGAGGTCACTTAGTAGAATCAATTAAATAAGCTATCAAATGGCCTCGTTCTTGTGGTTTCTTCAATCCAGCAAAAACCATCTTTGTTCCAGGGATATATTTTTTAGGGTTCTCAAGATATTCAAATAAAGTGTCTTTGCCCCATGTAATTCCTAAAAAAAAGAGAAAAAAAAACAGTGACAGATATTCATTATATGTTGCCATAAATAATTATACCATCTTACCATAAATGAAGTTATCGGGAATTGTTACATCTTCCAGTTTTCACCTTGCATGTTCTTGACTTTAAGAATCTGGTCAGTGGCAGATAGATCATGTTATCTACATGTACTCCAAAAGGTTTTAAATCCATCTGATTAAAATACAGACCTATGTTTCGTTTTATTTTTTTTATAAATTCCCCAATAAGGGCAATACCTGTACATGTAGGTATAACATGCAGGAACATATGGACAATTTGATATAACAATTCCCCTTGCTACAACATTGACATGTATTTATTGCAATATCATTCAAACAAACCTTTAGCTTGATTAGCAGCTGTGTATGTAAATCCGGGAGCTTGACCAGTTTTTCGTCCGATTAAACCATTGAGATTAGGACCAGTCTTGTGTTTACCATTCTTTTCTACAGTGTGACATTGGGCACATCTTTGGATAAATATTTTCTTGCCCTTTTCAACATCTCCATCAGGAACTTCAGGCATTTTTAATCTGAAATATAAATAATACCCCATATATGTAGGTCTGTCATTTGTTAAAAATATCAAAACACAAATGGAAAATATTTTCAAAGCAACTTGATGTCAAAATCTAGACTATTGGTCTACTCTATTCAGATTTCGAATTTCTATCATGCTTACATTAAACAGATTTGGTGCTTAATACACACCACATTTACCCCCCACCCCCTTCCTCCTTCTCATTTTCAAGATAATAAATTTATTTTAAATCAAATGAATAAAAAAGTCTAATACAACAATCTTTGATTATTTTTTTCTCAACAAGCGTACAAATTACAAGATCAACCATCATCAATGATCAGTTCAGTAAGGTACCCCAGCCCCCACTGAATAATAATAATCGGCAAACTAGTTGACCCAATTGTAGCACCGGCCATTACGGATACAGCAATTTAGTCCTTTATAATACCGGTACTTCGCAATAAAAACAAATGCTAAAGCTTGAAATTAACAATACTACGTCGCAGTTGTCCATTTTACTACCGGGACTCGGCGGGGGTGGGTAGGGCCTAACGTTCTTTCTTGACCTTCACTTTGTCACGTACATTCGATTAAAAGAAATATTCTAAATTTACGATATTCAATGTAAAACAATGTATGTAAACTTTTCTAGAAATGCACGCAAGTCCCATTCATGAAATTCTGCTCAAAAAGGGGCCGAAATGAAACAAATCGAATGAATCTAGGTCTAATCTACGGTAGCTTGTTAGTACGTTCTTTTCTCAAATCCAACTTGCCGGCGTGCGAGTGATGTAATCTTCGATTTTCGGCAAAAAACTCAATTGGGTGCTACAATTTTACAACAATTGGAAGTACTTACTTAACGGTCGTAATTTTATCTACCAAAATTTACATAAATTATGCAATTACTTACTTTAATTTGATCTTACGTTCCTAGGTTAGTACTGAACGGCTTTCCCACGAATGGCGATTGAACTTGAAAGGACGACTGACGTCATAATAAGCAACCGGGTTAGTTCATTTTTTATTCGCAGGGGCGAAAGAGATTTATGTAACGGTACACAGATCGTCCATTATTTAAATAATATAAACTCTATTGAAAAAAAAAAAATGGTGGGTCTTTTTATAAACATTGATAGAATAATTATTGTGAAAAGACAAAAAAAGTTCTTTTGTTTTGTTTTCATTTAAAAAAAAAAACAACGCACAATTTCATTTCTACCTATTGAACCTAATCGAACGGCTCTCGCTAGACTTTTCCATTTTGCTTATGAAAATAGCAGATTATGAAAGCTCGTCATTTTCGCAACCCCTGGAACCGAAATAAACAAAATTATTTCTGACACAAAATAGGGACAAAATATAGCCAATTTAATCATTAGCGTTAATTTTGACAACCGGAAAAAAGTGGTAGAAAAGAATTTGAGGAAAGTTTATTTCATTTTTTCTTCAGAATAATTTGTAACTTGTATAATTTATTTTTAAATAAACAGTTCTTCCTGTGCCAGTTGCAACGGTTGTGCAATCAGGGGTGTTACAAAACAGAGCCACGATTTGGTAATCTTAACTAATAAGTAATATGGGCTGGCTTTGTGAAGTTTATTCTTTCTGTTACGGTTGATATGCTAACCAGCTTATCGCGAAATAAATCCTGCAATTATCCCCTATATTGTATTAGCAACCAAGATTAAAGTTGTATTAGGCGTAATTTGATTAAGACGGAATTTATAATGTTGATAAACGCGGAAATATAGCTGTGTGTGTTGAATATAAAAAAAAATGAGGCCCTATTTGCGCGCTGGTGTGACGATAAACCAAAGAAATATTCGAAAATTGATTGATGACACCATAGATAATACCGTACGTTATTATCTATGATGACACTGATTATAATTATTACGTAATAAAATGTTACGTAAGAACTGCTAGATCGTTCTGCTTAAATGACTTATATAGACTTCAAAATGACATTCAACACAAGGTCTTGCCATAGCAAACCATTAAATTATTTATTCACTTTTTTTGTTCATTAAGTTACTCATAAACTTGCTTCAAAATATTTAGAATATAGGTATTTATTTTACTTTGATCTAATACTGACCCAATGAACGGGGATTACAAAATTCCGACAGAACACGGTCGAGGTTCTAGACTTCTTTCTAACACCCCTAAAAATGGAATAATCCATTAGTCGGCTTGCTTATGTCTGGATACTCGAGTGTCATTTTTCTAACAAGGGATACAACTCTAAACGAAAAATATAGTATTCCACTTCCGATCATCACAGACTTTTCTCTCAAAAAATGTCGTAACATATGTTGGGAAAAATCTGTTGTATTCCTTCAGTATGGGTGACAAATTTCTATCTTTAGACAGCCAGACCCATGAACTTAAGTTAGGCAAAAGTTTTGACCCCAGATCCGGAGTATATTTTCATTCCATGCGCTGTAAGTTTTCCAGAAATATCATCATCATAACATCGTCATATTATATCAATATCACATCTTTGAGTTATCATCATCATCACATCATCATCATCATCATCATCATCATCATAACAACTTTTCTTTTTTGAGCATTATCACATCATCATCATCATCATCATCATCATCATAACAACTTTTCTTTTTTAAGCATTAGCGGAAATCGGAAACACTAATAATCTGCCTCTAGTCTATGTCTGTAGATTCAGATTATTCTCATTTGGACTTGGAGTAGATTTTTCTTGTCCTCCAGTGCTGTACTAAATTCCCCTTGCAACACTTCAGGAAATACCCCCACCCCACCCCATTCCTAACCGTATACATGTATCTCTATGACATAAGCTATGACACAATAACCAACTGACAATGACATACATTGATAGTTAATACATATTTGTTCAAAAACCGTATATCTCAATGACATTAGCTATGACACAATTACCAATTCAACTGACACACATGTACGTTGATAGTTAATACATATTTGTTCATGAATATACTAAAATAATGTAATATCTTACCTTTTTCCAGGATATATGTGTGGTAATCAAAGGCAGATCGTTTTAAGAGCTGCTGGTGGTGGCCATATTAGGTTTGTCACATGAATGATCACCTATAGCCAAAGATAATGACTATTAAAATTAATTAGTTTCATGTTTTACAGTATAAATCATGTTGTATATTTCAGATGATTTTAAACCAGCTTCTGTTGATACTGGTCAGAATTCTACAGTTGAAATAGGTGAAGGTCACCAAGTTACAGTAACTGTTCCACATGTTGAGGTAAACAATGAAAGATACCGCACCACTGACAAGGAGGAAACCACACTGGAAAATTCCCATGAACTTTCTCGGTCAACACATGTTTTACAACCTCATGTTAATGGGACCATATATTGGTGTTGCCTTACTTATCGTGTTACTGTAATTCCTTAGAATTTTTGGGAATTGAATTTTCCATTGAGAAATTTCAATGACAGAAATGAAATGAAATGGGGTTGAACGTCCTACTGTACTACACCAACTGGGCTAATGAAAACGGGCATACGGCACGCCATACAGTGCCCTGACAGCAGCACTATGGCCTAATCTTATTACAGCAGCAATAGGGCCTAATCTTATTTCAAATTCCAACTGTCAAGGGTTCTTTTATGGGCACGGCAATGTATACGCAGGACCTCAATTTTTCGTCTCATCAGAACAACTGTATGTTATCCCTTGCCAGTCCCTCCATCCTGTACCACTGACAAGGGGAAACCATGCCGGAAAATCCCAGTGAACTTTCGCAACCAACACCGAGATCGAAATGATATGAAATGAAATGAAGGTGTTGCCGCTGAACCACCCAACCCAGTAATACCTTATTTTTTTGTTTTTCTGTATCTATTTTCATTTATGATTCTTCTAAACATTTTGGTGCAATATAGCCCGGTTGGAACTGGGAACTGACGTGCCATTAAACAACATTTCATTTCATTTCTTCTAAACATACATATAATTTATAAATTGATTTTTTAATTTCAGGGTTGCGGTACCTCTCATACTGTATATAAAGGTAACAAAAAACCCTGTCCTAAAGAATGTGTTCTAATTATAGATCATAAGACCGGTACCTTTACCTTAGAGAAACTCACAAATAATATAGCTGTTAAAAAAACAAGGTATGTATCAAGTATCAAGTATGTCAGCTGTCCAAATCCAGACCTCAGTTTTCATTTTGGGGTCAGGTCTCTGATCTTTTCTTTGTTTAAGTATATGATATCGTTACACTCTTATCTGGGTGTGAGTGGATGTCAAACCCTGACTTCATGATAATCTAGTTATAGTACACCATACCTGTTTATCAAGTGTTAGCTGGATCATAATGTACTGGTTTCACTTATTGCAGTCCATTAATATCATGGCAGATGAAGGTTTCAACTATATAGGTATAATTAGAAATTAAGATATAAAAACATATTTAAACCTATCTTCCTTTGAACAAAATTGAATGAATTGGTTCACTGTCAAAATATTTTCAAAACTTCACAAAAGAAACGGCAATTTAAGTTCATGCAGAATTATTTCCTTTTTATTTTGTACATTTTGAACAAGTATTAAAAGAAATAAGATGGTGAGCACATACACAGGTTTTAATAAAAAATTATTTTTAAATTATAGGCTAATGATTTTTAAACATTTTCATTATTTTGAAGGACCAGCAAAGCCAACGTTGGTCGTCCATCTACTCCTGTTGATTCTCAAAAGAATAAAAGTAGTTCTTCTCCTTCAAAAAGTAAAAATCTACCTAGTCCAAGTAGTCATAAAGATCTTTCACCTTCCATGCCTTTATTTTTACCAACAGGTGAAAAAGGTAAGTATATATTTATCATGACCTAAACCAATCATAACTTGAAATATGAATACACTCATATATTATAAGTTGTACTGGTAAAATACAATGAAATACAATTAAAATTTCTGTGCTCAATAACTCTTTTTAAAATTAAAGGGTATATGTCTCTGTTCTTTGGAACATTAAAATAAACGAAAATGGGTCTAAAAGCACATATTAATGTAATATGAATGTACATAAAGTGATTTATGTTCATTTTTATACGCCCACTTTGAAATGTGGTTGTATATTATCGTCTCCCCCATCCATCCGTCCGGCGGTCCGGCGTCGACAAGCTCTAGAGGCTTAAGATAATATCCGATTGACTTTAAATTTATACACAATGTTTAAGGTCATGAGACGAAGAAGCCCATGATTTGCAGCAATTTCCGATAATTACTGCCTGAGTTAAGGCCCTTGATCGCTTTGAAAAATCTTGAGGACATTATAGAGGCTAAAGTTAGTATCTGATTGACTTTAAATTTATACACAGTGTTTAAGATCATGAGATGAAAAAGCCTATTGATTTTCAACGATTTCCAATAATTACTGCCAGAGTTAAGGCCCTTGATCGCTTTGAAAAATCTTGTGGCGCTCTAATGGCTAAAACTCCATTTCATTCATTCATTCATTCATCACTCTAGAGGCTAAAGTTAATAAAAATTGTTTAAGGTCATGAGGCAAACAATTGAAACAAATTCTAATGTTTTCTGATAATTACTTCATGGGTTATTACTCCTTGACAACACTGGTTGACTGCCCGGATGACTTAGCTGCTGTGGGCGTATGTTTCGTTGCCTGGCAACCTATCTTTTAAAAATTTTATTGTAATTTCTAATTAATCATCTTCGGTGAAATATGTGAACAGTTCAAATTGAAAAGAAGACGTTTACGCCAACAACTGTCCATTCTGCACGTTTTTTTTTTTATTATTTTTTGGTCGTTTGTGAATCAGTCATTACTAATTACTACTGCATTGTCTTGCAGAAACCATAAAAATACATGGCTCTATACTGATTTTAAAATGTTCATTGTATCTTAAATATTTGATATTAGGATCCCATATTTTCACGGCAAGATAACAACATCAATATTGACTGGAATGAGTCAGTATTGAATTTTAATTTCGAATTTTATAGAAAATATTGAGTTAGAGGTTTAGCTCGTTGAATGAGAACATATGTTATCTTCACCCGAATCAATCGATCTGTTGGCCCTGTATTTATGTTATAAGGAAAAGCCATGTCAGATTTCCATTCACAGTTTGATATTTAAAGTTTGTTGTTCCAATAAAGAACAAATTTCTCAATGGAAGTTTGTTAAATTTACTTGTATTTATTTAAAAACATTCGGCAGGATTTGTTGACATTGATTTTAGAGACAGCTTGGACAACTGTTGTTTTTTTTTATCAGTGACGCCCCAGTTTTACATCAATCAAGGGTTCTATTCATTAAACAATGCATTTGTTTTGATTTTTCGCCTATGCATTGAAACTAAGTGTCCAATTTTTATTCTTGTGTTAAATTCCAATTAGAACACTTTCCATAGACTTAACATTTAGGATCTTGATAGATTTTCTACTCTAACTGATTATTAGAAATAAAATTGTATTGTGGCTAATAATTACAATTATATAGACATAATATTTGTGATGTATTGGATGAAGAGGAGTTTATAAATATATTTTTATTTTAGATGAAGATGAGTCATCACCTATAGGTAATATAAGTAGTTCTGATAGCTCTGATAGTTCAGATTCTAGTGATGAAGAAATGGAAACCAGTAAACCAGGTAAATATACATTATAAATATATTATACAGGTTACAATTCATGGAATACAATTACTGCTTACTTTAGGTTTCCTTAAAGAAATTAAGTTATGTTTCTTTCAAGGTAATTGAGGGTGTCCTTCGTTGGTCAGCATTAACCAAGTATTGTTGTTTTTTTTACATGTATATATTGTCTTGTTATATTTTATATTTTATCATTGCTCAATAAAGAATAGACAAGGCTAGGTGAAAAGCAGTAGTAAGCAGTAATTGTATTCCATAGAACTGCGACCTGTGTATTTCAGTTCAATTACTAAATGCCATTGAAACAGTTTATGAATATGTTATACATGTATTTACAGACGCGAGAAAATCTTTCTGGGACAGCTTGGGAATATGGATGTCAAAAGAGGTTCTTTGTATTTGACAATTTTTGTTGCTGATCATTATAACAATAATATTCAATTGAACAAGATTTAAATATACAGATAGTTATAATGTTATGATTATATTGTGTCAATATTAAAAGTGCACTCGACACAAACTAGTTCATTTTGGGTCTAACATATGGTTCAATTTTATTTCAATAAATTGCTTACGTGTAGGGGTCTTTAGCAGTGGGAGGAAACTGGAGGACCCAAAGAAAAACCACTAAGTTGGACAGACGACCATACTCCTTGCATTGTCACCTACAAGCTGGAAATTGAAACCATGCGATTTTCTAATCCAACGTGTCTGTGTTAACCATTTGGCCACACAACCCCCTTGCCAAGAAAGATTTGCATCAAAAGATTGTACCCAACCCTTATAGGTGATCCTGACTTGTTTATATCTCCTGAAGAGGATGCATATGTAATGGATTTATTTTAGAAGAATTTATAATTGTTGTATAGAGAAATCAAATCGCACTCCTCTTGTTTTCAATTTTACCACTTTCCATCCAAGATGTTGTCGACTCGTCTGGAGTGTTTTTTGGTAAAATCTTGAATTAATTTCAGATGAATCAAATGGAACAGGAAAAGTTCAAGCCCCATTACCATCTATATCACCACCATTTAAATCTACATTATTAAGTAAGTTGTTTAAATCTACATTATTAACTTTTGCTTACTAGACTCACAAGGCAAACATGGGGGTTTAATGTGCTACTGTTCTGCTCCGACTGGGCCAATGAAGACAAGCTTACATCATACAGTGTGCTATGAGGGAAATTTTGCCTGGACAGCGGCACTGCGGCCTAGTTTTATATCGAATTCAAACTGCCAAGGGACCTTTTTCGTGCACGCCAATGCAGTGTGCTATGAGGGAAATTTTGCCTGTACAGCGGCACTGCGGCCTAGTCTTATATCAAATTCCAACTGCCAAGGGACCTTTTTTGTACACGCCAATGTGTAAACGGGGCCTTGGTTTTTCATCCCATTGAACGACTAGACAGCTGTCCTTATCAGGCCCTCCGTCCTGCACCACTGACATGGGGAAACCACGCCGGAAATCCTGATGAACTTTCTCAACCAACACCGTGATCGAACCCACAACCTCCAGGATAGCAAGCCAGCATCTTACTCACTTAGCCACCGTGGCTCCCTACAATGTTAGAATGGGGTTTAATGTCCTACTTTCTGTACCCACCAGATTAATAAAGACAGGAGTTTTTAGATAGATTACCACTATGCATACATGTTTGGATAAACATAATCTTCCTAAATCATTTAGACCGAAAATTTATTTTCTTTAAAATGACAGATTGCCCTTTTCCTTTTCTTCATATGAGATTCTGATAATTTGAGGTCAACCTGTTCCTCAAATTTTAAGTCTAAATTTCGTTAGAGGAGTTTGATCGCTATGGAATCTCAGCCTCTAATTATTTAAGTGGTATCAAATGGACAATACCAGTCCTCTAATTTCCTAATTGAATTTCAACATTTTCTGTTAATAAAGTTGTAGCTCTGGTTGCACTTTGTGAATGCTGTAACCACAAAATTTATATTCATTATTCATATTAATGAAGCAAAGAAGCCTAATGAATTTAAACAATTGATTATTTCTGAACTAGTTATAAATCAAGGAAACAATTTTAGTTTGGCATAAACACATTTCTAGTGATAAACAGTCAAATGTGATCTTTTTCTATCTTTTCAGCTCAAGATCTTTGTTTAAGTGAATCTGGTAGTGACAGTGATTGAGGATTTTTTTACAATGCCTAGAGTGAGGTGTTGTTGAAACTGACTTAGATAAAGACAGTATAACTTACAGAAAAAGTATTGAATTAAGTACCTCTTTGATCGATGCTGTATTTTACCATTCTTTCATAAATGAAGTTGAATTTTCAAGAATATTGCTCTAGGAAATTGTAAAAGTATGAAATAATTGTTTTACTTTATCTTATGTTAAGATGAAGGATAACCTATTTACTTTAAACTTGTGTTGTTAATCTTGCTATGTGATTATTGATAAAAAATCTTGTGCTTACTCTTACTGCAATCTTCAACCAGTAGCATTGGCTTCTGAAATCCGAGTCCAGGTGTTGTACATGAGGTAGGGTAAGCTTCTGTTTCTACCACTTGAGAACACAATATAATATCAATTTTTAGGGTGCAGAACAGAGGTTGTAAATTATGTCATGTTGATCATGATTCTTTTTCCTATAAGCTCAATTAATACACTTACACTGTAGTAGAAGTAAAAACTATCATATCCTTCTGTCTCTAGTTGACTCCAGATTTATATCAAGTATGAAGCAAGTGCTGTATTAATTTTTCCTCGATTGTGGTGATATTTCATAGAACTGGTGTAAATATTGAATGAATCTTTGAGTGATAGTGTATTTATGTTATTACGAGTGTATATATGTGTAATGTAAATGGATCTTGGGATATTATTTGATTTGATGTTCCTGAAAAAAAAATGGTTGTTAAAATGTTGATATTGATGAAATGTTCTTTATAAAATGTTGATTAGAATCAAATAAACTTTTTATTCTCTTGCTAATAATTTGTGTTAATTATACTTTCAAAGTAAATGCCTGTTGATTTTAAAACTTAATTCAGTAAATAATGCCAGATTTCCTTCAATATCCATCTAATTGTTGAATGTTTTTTGCCAATCAGAAATATGAACCTTTTTCTATATGGGAAAATCTTTGTAGCATGGTCAAAAGTAAAGTTTTTTATATGAGATCTGATGAACCGTTCTTAGTTCTTGCATAGTTCGTATGTCATTGTATGTAACGAATCCACAGGGTAGATCAAAAAATTGGATTATTACTATCTTAAACTGAATAAAATTTAATCCCCTCATCTTCACCTGTATCATGTGTTACTCCCAATATGATATGAACTGACTATTCTCTGAAATATAAGATGTTGAACTTTGCCCCTCCCTTTAAGTCTTCACATAACCCTCAGTGGAAGTGAACAATTACCACCCAATCTACCCTCCTTTTGGGCAAAACAACCTTATTTGAACAGATCTGAATATGTATAACCCACTATCGCTTGTTAAAGATGCAACAAAAGAGAAATCGTCTTCAGCCACCAGTCCTTCTAAGCTGACATGGCGTGGCGTCATCATTACTAGGAAAATGATGACCGGATAGTTCCTTTTTAATTTTTTTGAAACAGGTCTCATCCATGGTTACAAATCCGGGCAAAAATACTATCAGGATATGCTTCAAAACATCGCAGATTGTCACAGGACATCAGGAATCTGACACGTTTCTGATCCGCAGTCAAAAGCATTGGCACCCATCTTGCAGAATTTTTGTGACTCCCAACTTAGCGATAATGTGCTCAACCCTCTCAGTGATGACCGCAACACTGGCAATATTTCGAGTGGTCAATCATTGATCAGTCATGCACCCAGGTAAAGTTTTGCTGAATGGTTGCCGTTTATGGCCTTCCAGGATGTGGGTCTTCGTCAAGGATCGCTCTGCCACGCTTAAATTCCACAGCCCACATCTTTACTGTGGAAAAGGAAGGGACATCATCCTCTTGCTGGTAATGTGCTCAATCGTCTCATGAGAGATGCCCACAACACTGGCAAGATGTTGAGTGGTCAATTGTCTATCAGTCATGCACCTGGGTAATGTTTTCTTGAAGGGTTGCTGTTGATGACCTTCCAGTACACGGGTCATCGTCAAGGCTCTATCTCATCCCAAACTTAGGCTGCCTATCTACAGCTAGCTCCGGCGGGAAGTATGACGTAGATGGGTCGCTGCGTGCAGTATGGGCTCTATCTGCCACGCTTAAATTCTACAGCCCACTTCTTTACTGTGGAAAAGGAAGGGGCATCATCCTCTAAGTGGAGACCATGTCTGTCAGCGCAGTGAGCCAAAATGGGCATTCAGGCAGCTGAGAAAGAAATAGGATTTGTTAATAGTTCAAAATGGATGATAGTCAGGGGAATGCCAGTAATAAGGTACGATTATATAAAAAAAAAAAAAATACAAAACTAATTTCAACAAATTGTTTATTTATATATAAGAAAACTTTCCTGCTAAACACAATGAATGAAATAGAATTCACTGTGTCTAAAGTTCTACATTAATTATAGTTTGAACAATAGGGCAGACAGCCACATTGTTCAGATTTCATTATTATGGTATTATAAGTATGACCACATCAATTGTTTTTAACAAGAAATAAATACTTCTAATTTACCTTCTAAATATATTACCATTCATTTAACTGTCGCCACTGAAATTTTAGCCAGACAAGAGAAAAGCTATCATGATAATGTTCTGACCAGATCTAAATATTTTGATTTGGAAACACTGTAGGTATATTGGTTTTCAATAAGACAAGACCTCTATGGTGGTTTATGTTTCTTTAAACTAAAGCTAATATATAATATATATATTTCCTGGAGTGGGTGATCTTCATACAATCACAAAAGAACACCATTTTTGGCCTACTCATAACCCTATATATTGTGCTAATCCCATGATTATAAGACATAATTGGAAAGGCTAATTTACAAGTTGACTAAATGCCTGTACATAATATTATATATAATATAATAACATGAATATATTTTAATATATACGGATCAAATGACACTGTTATTATAATATATAGCAGTAGTGTGGTTGCAGTCACAGGAGCTTGTATCAAGCACTAGTAATACCAACTCCATAGTACAGTAGTGCCACAAACAAATGTGAAATCAGGGAACCGAATAGTATTCTACCATGGACATTTGGTATCATCACTGATATATTAATTATGTTACCAGCTCCTGTGTTTGCAGTTATAACAAGTGTTTCACCAACTAATTTATCGCCTTATATAAACAATGATGATGTGTTATCTTGCATAGGAAGCTCTCTACGGCTTGAACATTGATCAAAATTTCTTAAATGAAAGTGCAAGAAAAAACATGCTATTACGCTAATATTTCTATGTGTATGAGCAGAATTTGGGGTCTGCAACTACATTATATTAACTCTCTAAAGTTAACTCATGGACTTACAAAATAAAGGCAGAAAAATGACAAATTCTTAATCTGAAATAAATTAAAATTAAAGTTTGCAAAATATCTAATAATGCCTAGGTGAAAACTCCTACTTTCTAAAGACTATATTTAAAGTATTAAAATGTTGTTATAGATAGCCTTGAATTATATATATATACAAGTCATTCAGACCAAGGAAAATGAGTTTGTTGGCTTTATAATCTTTAAATGGAAGTTTTATTTGGTATTTCAACTGATACAGTGATATGTGAACATCAGGATTTAGGGAATACTATATATATATTTATTATAAACAAACTAGAAACAATAATATAAGACTATCTATATACATGAAACTGTACAAATATTAACCATATATAGAATATACACTATGAACACCTCCATATACTATACACTGAGGTAAATAAATATCAAATCACAAATTGGCATCTATAAATAATGGTATTAATTACATCTTGGTTTAATAAATTAAACATTCTATATGCTTAATATTACCATATCTTTGGTAAAATTTTACGACACTTCTATCCACCCCCATGATTTGACTCTGAAGATACCTTTCTGATTTCAGGTGTTTTTGGGTTCTACTTCTGGAACATTTTGAAAATACTTACCCTCACCTGATATTGGGGAATTGTGATTCCTGGGTGAGTCTTGACAAGAAGAGTGACCAAACAGATCCCCCAAAAACATCTTCAACTAGCCTGCATGTTCACACTAAATAGAGGTGTTAGATTAAAACGCTATTGCAAAATGCAAGGAACCAGTGAAAACAGTTTCAGAGTCTCCAATACTATCTCTCTGTTGCCACACATTAAACATTACCAATGTTACTAATAGTTACAATATCTTGTGTAATTCCAAGATGTAATCATTATTTAATGCAGTAGCAGGTACATCATAGTCTAAACTGTGTTGGTCAAAAATATTTTATACTCTAGGAGGGAAACAATAACAAGATGGACTTTTAAACATAAAATCTCATTTTAATGAGTTAAATAAAAATACCAATTACATCACGTCTAATAGTACAGAATGATTACATTCTATATACCCCATCATATTAACATGTAAATCTTCAGCCAATTGGATCATCAGTTAATAAGTATCTTACGGAAGACTAAACCGAAGACAATCTTTGTACTTTCAGTCAGTTAAACAGATATTTATTTTATAATTTCACATCAAGTCAAATACAACAAAATAAGGCTTTTATTATGTTAAAATTCAAACAAAACAAATCTACCGCTTTATTACAATATTGTACTAAGGTTTACTGCAAGGGTTGATTCAAATACTGATGTGAACTTTGGCCCTATAGCACACATACCCTTTATTTTTAGGTAGTCAAATTATTGTGGAGGGGACATGGCCTTTATTACAGTTTCAAGAAAATTGACAGCTAGGCGATATAATGATCAATAGATATGTCAATCATATGTCACTCTTTGTCTGAAGATCCACCAAGGATTGTCTCATCATGTAAGAAACGTCAGGTATATAGAATGATGTCATACTGTAACCCTAAATCTAAACCATAATGCTGTATATAAATGTGGTGAATACTAATAGCCAATATATGTGTTCTATTTGGTTCAATCAATATCACAACCTTAATTATAATATATTATTACAAAATGGTCAAGTCTGATGATGATTAAAACAACTTTAATATACTTGATATACTGGATGATGATGTAAATAGTTAACTCTAAAACAAGTCTCATGTATACTGATCATATAATGATATAAATGCCTAGTTATCTCTGATACACCAACTCGCATTAATAACATTAAGGAATATAGAATAGATCTACTTTCAAAGTTTCGAATAACTTATAAACTGTTAATCCTTACTTTCCTATAACACCTGATACCACTTCTTATTTATTTCGGAATCTCACTTACAACTTTACGACATTTAAATAATTTGCAAGTATATTTATTTTCAAGTTTTATATTTATTATGGGAAATCATACTGCTACCTTATTAATGTATGTTTTGTGAAATAATGCAAAACATCTACCAAATTAATCTTTTAGTTGCATTTAGTAACCCAATAGAGTAATGAACTATAACACATACTAATTTATTTAGGTGATGCTTCAAAGAGTATTCTCTCAACATTAAGGATTCATTATGTCAGATTTAGATCAAGAGCTGTCCGTTTTTGCTATAATAAATAGTTTAAAAATAGATAATGCAAAATGAATATATTGAAAATTTCATTTAAATTACTTTATCCTGTGCCAAGTTATCACTGTTTGTAGTTTTGACACGATGTGTACAGTACTGGTACATTGGAGACTTAAACTCACTCCTCCATTTTTAAATTAAATCATTATATGATCAAACCATTCTAATCCAGTTCAAATCTTGAACATCAGATGGCATTGAGAGTTGATTATGGTCATGTCATGTTAATAAATGACTAATAATTTATATAACATTTAAGGCCTAATGAAAGACCTGCAATAGGCAAAATTAGCTATTAATTTAATATCTTCAACAGGCTATTAATTTAATAGTTGTTTTCCCTAAGTATGTGTTACAGTTCATTCAATGAACTGATTTAATCAAACAATAAGTTCATAGTTCTACCAAATAGTTTGATTAAATCAGTTTTCATAGTTCTACCAAATTTACTGCAAGTAAATTTATGCTTGTATACTATAGGTTATGCTATTGTCAATTTCTAGTTTAAACATTTACTTTTTATATTAGGAAATCACATTGGAATTTTATTTATGTATGTTTTGTGAAATAATTTTAACATTTATAAAATTGTTTAATTAAATTGGTTACTGGTAGTGCTGTATATATTATGCTATTGTCATATTTTCTAGTTTATTCTTCTAGGGTTAATTCATTCTGTGTTGCTGCCGTGTTTTACCTTCAACCATTTGTGTATAATACTGAACGAGACAATAGGCTAATATATAAATAAATAGATAAAAACAATTAATAAAGGCAAACACCACACATGAAAGCTACAATTCTATTATAAAACAAAGTATATATTTGTTGGAAGTAAAGTGCAATGAAAGACTAAGGAAATATTTTGAGTATATACCAGATAAGTAAAACCTTTGGTAAATTAAATATGAAGAGACCAATATATAACTGAACATGTTAATTTACAGTCTAAAAAATAAAAGGAGACATTAGAATTTTATAATGTTTGAAACAATGAAGGAAACAAATTCATTTTCGAAACTTTGGGGAATGTTTTCTTTTTAAGAAATAGGAATGGATATACCAGATCTATTTGGATTATAAAGAATTAAATGTATATGGATGAATCAAATAATTACCCTGACCCAAGAATTATTTGAATGTGGGGCTGAGTGACCAGAGTTATATCCCTTGACACAGCAAGACACTAAAGCTGCCCATCATTCAAACTAAGAATATGCCAAGCTACCAAGCTAATGATTTTAACAGAATTGTGCAAACCAGTGAATACAGGCAACTTTAAATTGAATTTTAGCATAATAAAACAAATGATTTTTTGATGAAACAGTGGAGAGGAAATATGTATTATTCATTGATGCCTAAAAGATGCATTAATACACAATAGTGAAATTTTACCTTCTAATCTATGTTTTAATAAAGTGTAAAAAGAAAGTAGATTTTAAAAGTTTGTTTTAAACATGTGATGCAATAAAAACTATAGAAAATATAACCACTAAAATGTTTAAAATAGTCTTTATATGATAAAATGCTGATTTTCTATGAAAAAATGTTATTTTTTGTGTGCTACATTATAAGTTCAGTGTTAAAATAGATATAATTCTAACAGTAAAAATATTGCTTTAGGTACATATATTATCAATAACCCTTTTCCCTTTAAAATAAAACTGGTAATAAAAATAATAATCAAAACAAACATAATAAACCCTGAATTTGTCTGAATATAAAATCTATCGACTAGAATCATAAATATCAAATTTTTACGAAAACAAACCTAGAATTTTTCCAAATGATAATATAATCAATTTTGATTTCTTGCTTAATAAGGATTAAAATGAAAGTAGATAAATTTGAATAAATTAACCCAAAAATGAAAATAAATAAAAATGAGGTGGAATTAAAAATATAACATAAAATCAAATGATTAAAGTCCAAAAAGGAGGAAAAATTATTGCACTGCCACGCAACCATTCACTTGGTTCTAAAAAATAGATTGATACTCCACAGCAGGTTGCCGCCGAACACATCCATTGAATATAAACACATAAAGATGTCATCACACTTCACAGCAATGTCTACAATTTGAATAAACAAAGCGCATTTTATACGCATAATTTCATTGTCATCACATAATCGCATATATAACGCATAAACAATATATATATATTATAATAATAACACAAATCTACACCATTGTGTTTCTCATATCTACACCTTCTGGTAGTCCTAATTGTCTCTGCTGCTCTGCTGATAACCTGCCGTCTGCCTGATCACTTTCAACCTCACCTGATTGGCTATCTACACTATGTGTGAGTTCTGATTGGATGGATGGATGAGATGCGAATTGATTGGATGATTGAGATACTGGTGGGACTATATTTGCCTGTGATTGGTTGTATGGAGAGAAAGAGAAGGAATGACGTGTAGGTGGAGGAGGAGGGGAAGGGGAGTTTGCTGGTAAATCTGGATATTGTTGATGTTGCCATTGCAATCGGTCATCGAACTTGATAGAAGGTACACCAGGCTGAAAAAATAGTTTTAGAGATTTTTGGACACAGACCAATAAAAGGATAATAAAATGGATACAAACAAAAATATTGAATAATAAACAATAATACGAAGGCATTGAGAGGTTTTGACAAGGCAGCATTCATATTCCAGTATACAAATTGAAGAAAATGAACTCAGAAACCAATAAAAATATTTAACCTAGAAGATCTTTAATTACCTGATCTGGAGTTTGTAATGGAGATAGCTGGGAGGGGGGTGGGGGGAATTCATAATTTCCATTATCATAATCAGGAGGGAAAGTGTCGACAGGGGGAGGAGGAAATCCATCTGGATCAGATGGTCCTGGGGGCGAAGGTAATTCTTCTTCTTTCACTTTGACTTTTGGGTCGGTTTGCAGTTGAAGAATACGTAGAATCATGGAGATGTCTGAACTCATTTTATTCTCAAGTCTGGTCAATTGTCTGAAAAATAAATTTTTATCTTATCAAATAGACAGGATATTGGTAACAACACAAACTATGTCAGGCAGGTCATGAGGTCCGGTAGGCCACCACTCCTCTAATAATCTTTAAATGGCATTTAGTAACTGAATAGAGTAACAACAAAAAGACATACTTAAGGAAAACAGCTACTAGTGTATTTTTAAGGTGACGTTTCGTATTCTCTCAACGTCATCAATCTTAAAAATACACAAGTATGTGTTTTTATTCCTACTCCTCTAGTTCTTGTCCCGTACAAGTGGGGGATCGAAACCACATCATTTGACTTAATAACAGACCTTATGATCTGAAGCTCAGAGGACTATTCGGCCACCAAACCCGCCCTGGACTAAAGGTAGTGGTTCATGTTAATATTAATAAAAAAACTTACCTCGCTAATTCCTCTAGACGTTTTTCTACTTCTACTGGTGTAGATAGAGGATGATGACCAGCTGTATCAGATACTATAATGGGTAATGGGGGAATAGCATGGCCCCCATCATCAAATTGGGAATGGCTGGAAGGACTTGACACTGGTAGCGTCATACTGGACAATGATTTAGGAACACTGGAACTAGATGTTACTTTATGTTGAGGTTCTGGACTAGCACTTTGTTCTTCTAATAATGGTGCTGTCTCCTGACTTTTCTTACTACTTTCATATCGTCCAGTAACGGCATTGACCAAAGAATTCACGCCCGATAGAGCACCAGCTGTAATAAAATATATACAAATATTCTTCAGTAAATACTGATAAAATTTGTAAATAAATAAACAAGATATAAATAAGACATGTTTTAATATGGTAATAAAGTTGTTAACTACTTCTACCATCAAACCTGGGTTCTTATTCCATTTTGAAATGAACCAGCCAAAATTGGGTCAAATGTTGACCCAGTAGGAAATAGATTTATTATAAGCTTCCATTCTTTTTAATATAACCAGACTTCAACAAAAATAATTCTTGGTAATTTGTTTTGGAGAATTTAATTTCTAATGTATGCGATTGCCACAAGAATAATGACAAATAGGTACACCTTTTAAAATCTTCCATATTTACTTCCCGTACCGGCTTGAAATTCATGTCAGAAATATTCCTGAATAAATTACTGACTTCATTTATTCGATGAAACGTTCATGTCTTGCTTGATCAGTCGATCTAAAACATAAGCATTTTTCTACTATTGCCAGTATCAGAATATACTGTAGTCAAAATAAGCTTATTCGGCTTCCACGGCATTTCTTCATAACACAATATGTATATTTTTGTCTATCACGTAACTTGCAATGTTTTTATTCATTCATCGACGATAGACAAATGGCACAATGATCATGTGACAATTGAAATTGCTTTAAAATAAAATTCTGTACGACTATGCCATAAGCCTTCAATAATAACAACAATATTTTAAGCATGTGTATAATATGAAACCAGCGGCTGCCAGGGAGGGTACGAACACATTTTCGAGAGATGGATAGAGAACAAGCTAAGAAGAAAGTGATTTTTCCTACAATCAAGGGCCATAATTCAGGAAATTACAATTCGATATGTGCAAATATCGAAAGGAACCGAGATCTTTGTGTTATAAACTTACATTTCAAGTTTCAACAAAATCGGATAAAAATTGTGACTTCTATAGGGTCCACAACTTTGATATACCCTATTTTTACGCTATTTGAGAACGAAGGTCGGCCATTTTATCTGTCAGTTTTGGGTCGATTTTCACGAAATTCAAACTCAGTCGTCCTTAGGGTGTAACGGTGATATAATAATACGTTTTTTTAAATCGGATAAAAATTATGACCTCTATAGGGTCCACAAGCTAAAAACGCGATTTTTCATACAATCAGGGGCCATAATTCAGGAAGTTACGGTCCGATAGGCGCGAATATCGAAAGGAACCAAGATCTTTGGGTTATAAACTTACATTTCAAGTTTCAACAAAATCAGATTAAAATTGTGACCTCCATAGGGTCCACAACCTTGATATACCATATTTTTACGCTATTTGAGAACGAAGGGCGACCATTTTGTCTGTCAGTTTTGGGCCGATTTTCACAAAATTCGAACTCAGCCGTCCTTAGGGTGTAACGGTGATATAATAATACGTTTTTTTTAAATCGGATAAAAATTATGACCTCTATAGGATCCACAAGCTAAAAACACGATTTTTCGTACAAACAGGGGCCATAATTCAGGAAGTTACGGTCTGATATGCGCAAATATCAAAAGGAACCGAGATCTTTGGGTTATAAACTTACATTTCAAGTTTCAACAAAATCGGATAAAAATTGTGACCTCTATAGGGTCCACAACCTTGATATACCATATTTGAGAACGAACGGCGGCCATTTTGTCTGTCAATTTTGGGCCAATTTTCACGAAATTCGAACTCAACCTTCCTTAGGGTGTAACGGTGATATAATAATATGGTTTTTTAAATCGGATAAAAATTATGACCTCTATAGGGTCCACAAGCTAAAAACGAGATTTTTCGTACAATCAGGGGCCATAATTCAGGAAGTAACGGTCTGATATGCGCAAATATCGAAAGGAACCGAGATCTTTGGGTTATAAACTTACATTTCAAGTTTCAACAAAATCGGATAAAAATTGTGACCTCTATAGGGTTCACAACCTTGATATACCATATTTTTATGCTATTTGAGAACGAAAGGCGGCCATTTTGTCTGTCAATTTTGGGCCGATTTTTACGAAATTCGAACTCAGCCATCCTTAGGGTGTAACGGTGATATAATAATACGTTTTTTTAAATCGGATAAAAATTATGACCTCTATAGGGTCCACAAACTAAAAACGCGATTTTTCGTACAATCAGGGGCCATAATTCAGGAAGTTGCGGTCAGATATGCGCAAATATCTAAAGGAACCGAGATCTTTAGGTTATAAACTTACATTTCAAGTTTCAAATAAATCGGATAAAAATTGTGACCTCTATAGGGTCCACAAACTATAAACATGATTTTTCGTACAATCAGGGGCCATAATCCATGAAGTTTCGATCCGATACATGCCAATATCGAAAGCAGCCGAGATCTTTTGGGGATAAACCTATATTTCAAGTTTCGTCAAAATCTGATAAGAATTGTGACCTGTAGAGAGTCCACAAACAATTGTGGAAGGACGTCCGGACGGACAGTGGCGACGGCATAATACGTCCACATGAAAATGTGGGCGTATAAAAATCATACAGGGTTCCCGCGGCTTCGTCAAACATTTTTTCAAGGATATTCAAGGATAAATATACGTCAAATTCAAGGATTTTCAAGGACATTGTTAGCCTAAAGTTACAATTTTTCATCTTAAAAATAACCAAAACATTACCAACTATCGTTATAATCTCATATTTAAAAGGAATTGAAGACATTTGAAACAAAATTAAGGATCTCAACTGAAATTCAAGGATATTTTCCTATTTCCGCGAAATTCAAGTATATTCAAGACCTTGAAAATTAAATTTTAAATTTAAGGATATTCAAGGATTTTCAAGGACCGCGGGAACCCTGTCATAACGGCAAACACTATTTAAAACTGGTTTATTGACCCAATTTCAACCATATCTTATATCATCGGAATTCAGCATTGAAAATATTAATGACTGTTTCTCGGTGTATTTGATGTTCTATCAGGGGATTACATTCAATGGAGATTTAAATTTACCTAACAACTTGTCAGTGAATCTATCAATGTATGATTCAGTTATTATTTTAATATCTACCAATACCTGGAATTCATATGGAGTGTCAAAGACACATGATTCGCTAACCATGCCAAGATCGTCTTCTTTCACCATGTGGTTTATTTTTACAAAGGCAGCTTACTGAACCTGAATAATCAGCAAGCTTGTTTTGTTTTTTTACTGGATTATCGCAATTAAAGGTAAAGGTGCTAATTACTCGGATTATGAACCACATGGCCGATTCTTACTAAGGTATAACATCAAACATCAATCGGCTAAAGCCAACTAAAAGCAGCCGATTAAGAAAAGTGCGTCAAACTAACCTGCTATTGTGGAGAGCCCTGTAGATGATCGTGCTGCACGTGGATCTTTAAAATCAAAGTTAGCTGGTGTAACATCCATTCCTGCTTTCGCAGGTGAAAATTCTAAAATACCTGCCCCACTTTCTCTCACATCTTCTTCACTTGACTCAAACGACATTGATATGACAGGTCCATCCTCTCTTTCAATACGATGACGACCGATATGATTGACACGGTGTGGGCGGAACTTGTAGTTATTCTGGACATCTTCTGTAAAATAGATATATATAATTATTATATCATGTTATAATAACAAATAATACCTCTAAATATATGTATCATGAAAATAAATGTTACTTTTATCTAGAAGTAAATTAGAATTATTAAACAAGATTAGGTAGTTTATACCCTTGACAGTGATAATAACCAATTTATCTGCTACAAGCAGAAATGACAATTTTTGCGCACATTTTATTAACTCAAACATACTTTTAGTTAAAATCAAGGCTTGATATGGTAAATGAGTATCATCAGCCATTGATGAGTACCAATAACATCACATACATTAGTGTCATTAAAATCGCCTATATCAATATTTACATGAAAAAAAACACGAAATAGCACACAATTTTTGCCAAAAGAATTGAAGTGTTGATTCAAGTTGTAAGGTGTGTATCACCCAATAATTTTAGGTCCGTTTATACAGCCAATGATCAGATATAGATGATTTGTGTTCTGATGTTGACAGTTTAGGTCCAAAATTTCCACTTTAGTACAATAGCATTGTATGGACCAAGAACCGAACACAACATCTTCACCGCCATTTTGGTGTTTTTTTGGGTTTTTTAAACAATATTTTTATTCACATTGTCTGAATGGGACTGGGGAACAGGCTTAGCCTATGTAAAACCCCTCTCCCTTGGTGTTGTGATGTCACATAAATTGTCCAAGGAACAAGCGTACCATGTTTCATGTCGATCGTACTTGAATTTTCAGAGTCCTAGGAATTTGTTTTTTTGAAGAGTGTCACCTTAAGAAGAAGAACAAGATGAGTAGTTCCTAATCCAAACCACACCACATGAACTCAATTCAACACTTTATTTTGACTTATTGATTTAAATAATACCATTTACATGCTTGAATACTGATCAATCTCCACCATTTTCATATCTGCCAAATAATAAACAATACAATATAGGAACCTGCCTCTATTGTATTTGGTGATTATTTTACTGACAGACAAAAAAATGGTGGAGAATACTGATACAAGAGCATAACAGAAACTTTCTACAATAACTAAAATCAACTAGATTATCTATAAGATTAAATGAGTAATAAAAAACTAAAACAAAGTATGTCAGAATTAACAAATAATGTTCTTAATTTGGCAAAATGGTTTTTAATAGAAACTTTCTATCATGGAGGGCAACATCCTCAAGGTCTTCAGAATTCTATGCTTCTGCAAAAGAAGTATAGAAAATTGTGACAGCTATGTAAAATGTTCATCAGCGATGCACGGTCAAATAAAAGTTGAATGCTGACCTGTTTCACTGACCACACTATTTTTTCACACAATTCTCAATCTATTTCTTGCAGAATATGTAAAAAGTTTCTGTATCACATGAGCTGTAAAATCAGCATTGTTATCACCATGTAGCCTTGACTACCACAGACTGAAGATGCGACATGATTTGCCAAAGAACCACATGTAAGAAAGGTTCCATGCATTAATGTTTCTACAACCAAGGTGTCAGATATTAAGAAATGAGTCCTAGTCGGATATCCAATGAAATGTAATATTAAGAGGAAGGGGAATAAATAACCTATATTTGTGTTGACTAGTGAATTAAATATATAACAGGAACTAGGATTCTATAAGCTTTATTTATGTATTAGTAAAGCAGTTCCTAAGTATACCACATTCTACCCTATTTACCGAGGAATGGGATCTTATGTTTTTTGTCAAATAGAAAGAAGTAGGTATTTGATTTCTATTAAAGAAATTTGAGCAGGATGGGTGGATACGTTTGGCAATCAGTTTGATTAATATGTTAAACAGAACATAATTTTTAATTATGGGATATTCTAAACCATGGCTGGAAATAATAACTGATCGGACACAAACGAAGTCCGATTGAATTTCGAAACTTGTCAGGTTAAACTTCCTAACGGTCTTTCATTTTGTCCGAGGAAAAGGAAATATTTATTGGCAGAATTTCGCCATTTTCGGAAAATGGAAGTACGGTAGACTGCTACCCTTCATGAATTTCTAACTTTACTTGCTATCACAGCTTTATATTTTATAACTTGCATGTCACAACCCATGATCGGAAAATACACATAAAACGTCTATTATATTACTTTTTTATCTGAAAAATGTCACAGTCCAGTCAATCAACCATGTGGGCTTGCTTCTATGGTCGTAGTCTCGGAATTCCATGTGTTGTCACAACACCCACCCACCCATTAGTCAATAGAATAGATCTTGATAGACTTTGTGTTAACCCAAATGTCAGAATATTATGTCCGACTGAAAATTTGACATGTCAAGTAGAATGTTCATCCAGCCTCACATAGTGTCAGACACACATTTGAAAGTTATTTCCAGGCTTGAGCATGATGTTTCGTCAAGTATCCACTTATTGTTATCAATGATGTTCCAACATCAATATGGGGATTTGGCAGTTAAGTGTGTTTGTCTGATTAGTAAACTTGAAGATGAATATATCAGAATGTGTATTATATATATTGACCTCAAATTTACTAAATGTCATTGTGCTTGATAACGATAAGAGGATACTTGTCAAAATATTGTGCTTTTAGAATAAAACCAGTGATTGATATCAAATAAAAATTGTGTTCTGTTTAATGTATACCAGAATCACTAAATGCCACTTAAAGATTTGATTAATATGAACTTTCTGAAGTTGTTTAACAGTTTTTCAGTTCATAGACTCACGTTGCTAGCATGAACAAACTGTATCCTATGTATCTATCCATTGTAGTTAAAGTAGACTTCTTACAGACTATGAAATCTGATTATGAAATATTTTATAAAATTTAACTTAAATCAAGTAAGTAACAACTAAAAGAGCAATAGTTAAAAAAAAAAAAGAAAGAGAAATGAAAGTGTATACAAAGCTATATACTGTGCAGCGGTGAATGTGGTATATAATATATATAGGTAAATATATATATTTATATATATAAATATATTAGTTGACCTCCACCTGACCTGATAAAACCCTGGTAGGAATATCATCTTGAAGACCAATTCCTTCAGAAATAATACAACATATAGAGAACATATAGTATACAATAATTATTAAAAACAGAGATTTCACGGTACACCAACATGCAAATTACAATATTTCTTATAATACAGTCTAATTGCAAATACTTTGCCTTGTTGGTATAGGATCACGTTGTAGGCCTTCTCCTTGGGTCCATTACTACTTAAACTATCCTCAGCCAGGATGACGTTATCAGAGTTATTTTACTACATTTCACAGTTTGATAACAATTACTTGCAATTTAAATGGTGAGATGTGGCTACTGCAATTAAAGCTCAAACCCTACTAAAGATCTGGCTATGATCTGAATACTACAATTATAGCCACAAACTTACTCAAAATATGGCCATGATCTGAATACTATGACTATAGCACCAACCCTACTGAAGATATGGCTATGATCTGAATATTATAACTATAGCATCAACTTTACTTAAGACATGGCCATGATCTGAATACTATGACTATAGCATCAACTTTACTATGGCCATGATCTCAGTGCAGTATTATAGCCCCCCAACCCTACTCAAGATATAGTCATGGTTTGAATATTATAATAATAGCCCCATCCTTACTAAAGATATGGCCATATCTCAGTGCTACAATTATAGCCCCAACCTTACTAAAGATATCACCATGATCTCAGTGCTATAATTACAGCCCCAACCTTACTAAGGATAAAACCATGATCTCAGTGCTACAATTATATCCCCAACCTTACCAAAGATATCTCCATGATCTCAGGGCTATAATTATACTCCCAACCGTATCAAAGATGTGGCCATGATCTCACTATTATAATCATAGCCCCAACCATACTGAAGATATGACTATGATCCCAATACTATAATTATAGACTCAACTAAACCAAAGATGTGGCCATGATCTCAGTGGTATAATTCTATCCCGAAACAAACCAAAGATGTGACCATGATCTCAGTGGTATAATTCTATCCCGAAACAAACCAAAGATGTGGCCATGATCTCAGTGGTATAATTCTATCCCGAAACAAACCAAAGATAGGGCCATGATCTCAGTGCTATAATCATAGCCCGAAACAAACCAAAGATGTGGCCATGATCTCAGTGCTATAATCATAGCCCGAAACAAACCAAAGATGTGGCTGTGATCTCAGTGCTATAATCATAGCCCGAAACAAACAAAAGATGTGGCTGTGATCTCATGGTGTGACCAGGGTCTCCGTACTATAATTACAGCCCCAAGCTCACTGAAGATATGGCCATGATATCAATAATGTAATTATAGCCCCACCTATACCAAAGATGTGGCCATGATCTCAATACTATAATTATAGTCCCAACCTTACTGAAGTTGTGGCAATGATCTCAATGTTATCATCATAGCCCCAACCTTGCCATAAGTAGTAATTGTCCCAGGAGAAGGCCAATATGACAAGACAACTAATTACAGTTGTTTTCACAATAATATTACTTCATTTTGAAGATTTACTCCCATTTATCCAATATTTCATCAGCATGCACCACAATAACTGTACATCCACAATAGATAGCTAGAGGCCAATCAAAAGTTATTTTAATTCATTTTTACTTTTATTTACTGAGCAGAATAACAACACCAAAATCTGTTTATTGGATCCACTGTTTAATTTTTTGAAGAAGGGGACCAGACAGTGTTAGTGTTACAGTATATATATAATAGGACTTGTATATGGCGTTTGTATTATGTTGAGCTCAATTTATATATGACAGTATTGGGATTTATATATGACAGGTGCATTCTGTTGAATCAATAACAATGCTGTATTTAGCTATTTACCTGTTGAGCCTACTGAATCTCTTTGTGGTGATTTACGTATAGATCGTCTATATCGTATACTATGACGAGGGTTATATTCATCATCTGGTACACGTACAACCAATATTTCCTTAAAATACAAGTTATAAATGAACAATGCATGGTAACTTCATAATAGATATTCTGTTTCTGTGATGTATCACATTAGTATTGTATCGTTTAGCCATGATTACCATATAGCTCCTAGATTTGGATTATGAAATCTATCTGGTAAAGGACAGGGTATGACCAACTGTCTCTAAAAAAAAAACCTGACACCATTTAAACTGTCAGTTGTATATATGTATACCAAGTTGGACTGAGTATATCTATGAAATAAAATAACATATAGAATATATGACTGGACAAAATACATGCTTACAGATACGCGTTAGATTACTCTTTCATATTTGAATAGTGTAGCAGCCTTATGTATTTTCATTCAAAAATATGGTGTTCTACCATCACTTCCATACTTACATCTCTTAGATCAAAGGTTATTTCTAGATTTTGAACAAAATGTTCCGCAAATTCTGGATACATATCTAATATTTCTAGTAGATCATCTCGGTGTATTTTGTGTAGATCACAGTAAGTCAAGGCACGAACATTACAACTAGATTTTCCCACCGTCTCATGCTTACATAGATTCTCACCAAAAACATCATCTTTACCTGTACCAACAAATTATTTCATATTGACATTACACAATTATCAGTAGATTCAGTTTCAATCTAAGAAAAAATTTTAATATTTACAAAATAATGCAAAGAAATGAATGGAGATGCATAGACATCTATTTATTTTCAGAAAAGTGAGAAACCGTAACTGTTGGGGTGTCTTTATTGTGCACTGTCAATGTGTAGGCATGACCTGGGTTTTTCATAAGCTGGCCAAAAGTTCTCATCATCATGGTAATAATACATATATGATAATATAAATTTAATACAGGACTAAGAAAAAAAGACAGAGTAGATTTGTTTGGTATGCAACAGACAATACATCAACCTTCAAACGCAAGTCTTTCAGGGATTATTACTATCAAGTGGGAAATGGTGCAAGCAAATCCTATGCTATTAACATTTTTCTTTAGGAACAAGAAGTGTCATTCTATAACCATGGTATATGTTTACTTTTTTTTGTAAAAGAATACCTTACTTTTTACGAATTCTATTTTAATTGGGAAATTCAAGTGCTATACTTTTGTAATCATCATTAATTATCTTAACATAGCCACACAAATACTCTTATACTTTCCTTTATCCTGACGAAACTTACCTAAAATAGCTACAACTATATCATCTCTAAGTATTTCTATGGATCCTCTTGCTACAAAGAACAGGGCTGTTAGAACATCTCCACGGTGCACCAGTGTATCTCCCGGAGGTACATGAGTAGTTTTAAATTTCATAGACAAAGCACGCAGGCAGCCAGGGCTTGCCCCTGCAAATATAAAAGGGCGGGTTTCTACGAAATTAGTTATTGCTATTCAATCAGATTAAGTTTATAGTATAATAAATATGGGAACGTATCAAAAAGAAGGATGTAATCAATAACAATTTGCACAGTTTTTCACTATGATTTTAACTAAACAGATAACAGGCAAATAAAATTTACTATTTATCTGCATACGGTCCTTTAAAGGTTCGGAAGCAAATGGTGATCAAGATTGTAGGACCCTAGTTAAACCATCTCTCAGTAATAAACAGTAATATTGTCCTATGTATTTCTAGTTCAATCAACAAATGTCATTCAAACAGTATATGGTTGACATTGGCAGTAGTAAGTAGCACACTGTTAATTAAAGCCCGATAAAAGATGTCATTTTATATGATTATTCAAAATTTACATGCATATATCTATTAACTGGCAGTACCTTTAAATGCTGGACAATTATTGAGTAAATTACGATTAAGATGGAGACATATATCTGCTTGTAAACACTCAGGAAAACTTTTTAACACCTGAAAAAGAAACCCCACAAAAAACTGATTTATTTTAATTGATTTTAGAAAGCACTTAAGTAAGTTTGGTAGTTAGTCCACAAAGTGTCTATATACTTGCTGAATTCATAGTGGTACATGCATGATCATTGCAATTATCAAGTCACACATACAATTAAAAAAGTTACATAAAGCTGTAATGCAAATCCGAACGGCTCAATATTTTCATTTCAAATTACCAGACAAGCAATATCATCACTTGGCATTTTAGATAAACACATTTTTATTCACAATGTCCTTTGAAATCTGGGAGTGCCACTTCAAGTAATCTCAGTACGAGGTGACCAGTAATTTATATCAAAGTTTGTAGTGGTCTTATTAAGTAATCTAGGTGGTCTCAAGTAATCAAAGTATTAGGTGGCCATCAGTAATCCATGTCTGTGGTGGCCTTATAGGTATTCACAAGACTGACTTCAAATAAAGCTGGCTACATACCTGATTCATGTCGATTCCATTTGTATAAGACCAGGCATGTTGGAAGTATTCTTCTAATCGTTGTCTTAAAGGGTTAGGGATTTGATGAAAACGAATAAATTCCTTTATTCGTAACATTTGAGTGTGATATCTAGCAGTGCCTGAATACAAGCGCTGAATAATAGCACTCACGTTACCAAAAATACTCGCATACATAAGAGCTGAAAGAATTGATAAATCATATTTTAGTATATATTTCGTTAACAGTATTATACTCAGGTTCTGAAATGTACAAAATTTAGATTAGAAGAAATCAATCTTTTCAAATCAGAAAAAAAGTATTATTTCATTTTCCATTGGTTATATATTTGTAAAGGGATATATAAACTACACCATTTTTTGTCCCATTTAAGAAAAAAACAAATCAAAGAAGGCTTACTTGGAACTCCATAGACATGTTATTAGTGTATGTATGTGTGTGTGATAGTAGCAATCTAATTAAGGAATCATTCTCAAACAAAACTTCAGCTAAGTTTATTTCTTGTAAAAATTTTGAAATATAGCCTATGATACCCCATAATAATGCATAAAGTTGAACCAATACAAATGCTCTAAAGCATTAAATCCAGAATCATATACTGATCAATCAACACAGCCATTATGAACATTGATCCAGTATGACCTCATTAGTGTACTCAATCCTGTTGTACGAAATTACTTTACCAGTGATACAGGTGGCAACTGATACAGGTGGCAACTGATACAGGTTTTACTGTATTCCAACATTTAGCATGCATAACACAAATTCAGCTTGAAACATTTTGCTAAATCAATTATAGAGAATTGGAACCCTTGTCCACTGCCTCCCTCAAATCAATCAAATAATCAATCAAATATACTTACATCCTATCAACATAATAAGTATAGAAAAAATTTTCTCCGAGTTTGTATTGGGCGAGACATTTCCGAATCCCACACTAGTTAAACTACTGAACGTAAAGTATAAAGCTGTCACATATTTGGATTTTTTAGACGGTCCACTGGAAGTGTCATTTGGTAAATAGAACTGATGAGTTTGGCGAGCTAGTTCATCTAACCATCCAATCTTAGGTTCTTCTAAATAAGGTCGTTCAACATTTCCTATCGCATACCATATACATGCTAACCAATGTGCAATGAGGGCAAATGTTGCCATTAGTAACAATAACACAGCAGCACCATACTCTGAGTAGCGATCTAATTTACGCGCCACACGGACTAAACGTAACAATCTTGCTGTTTTCAATAATCCAATGAGGGTTGTTGTCTGAAAAGAGAAAAAGAAAATGTCATGGATTAGAATATAATAAATTCTATTCTACTTTTATATAGAAAATTCTAAAAAAAAAATTCACTTTTCAAGGTCAAAAAATTAAAGGGTCTCTCCCAATACCGGTAGGTCATTGTTAATAAAAGTAGTAAAAGAGAAATTGGGATTCACTACAAATCAAATCAATGCTTTCAACCTATGGTCACTGTCTACAAACGTCATCATCTGAAAATCTGAAAAACCTATTCACATATATGTAGTCTCCCAAAAAGCCCACACTGAAACATGTTTGTGTTGTGTTCCATTTTTAACTAACTTTAAAAATTTCCATAAATAATTACCATTATTATTCTTGAGAGAATCATGATTGATCCTATGCCCATGTTCTGTCGATTATCAACAGACAATTGGTCGATTATGTGCAGAACACCAGTTGTTTAGAACATGGTTGCATTGCAGGCGGAGTGCAGTGATTAAGATATAGTTGAATTATCTTACCTCATCTGTTTCTGATCCGAACAAAAGGAGATCAAAAGGAATGGCTGCCACGACATCTATCAAAAACCAGCCTTTAAAATAATGTACAGCTATCTTTCCAGGGTGGCTCACAACTTCATCATTCTTATTTACATATGTAGTTCGAAAATTGATGAAAATATCAATTATAAACATAATATCCACAATTAGATCTATAATAGTCATAGGATCAGAGTACCGACTCTCCGCAGAAACATTTTTATTTAGGGATTTTTTCTCCTCACTAAGAAGAAAGGCTGCAGCATAAGGAGTAAATATTGCTGTGTATATCACTAATAATAAGATTATCCAGTCCCACACTGCTTTAAATGGAGAATAATGTAATATGGTACATTGATGTATTCGTTGAGACTGGAGTTTATATTCTGGTATCACGTCTGCCCCCAGGGACAATACCTGAAACATAAAAGACCAGCACTCGTTAAACATGATCATATACATTTTAACACAATAAGCTGAATAATTACTATCTATAAGATTGTGTAAAGATTTCTAACAGAAGACTTGATAAAATTCTCCAATTTGAAAGAACACTTAATATAAGCAAGTTCATAAAATGAAAATTTGTTAGCTAACATGTTCTCTGGATACATATATCATAGTCAGATAATTATCTTTCAAAAATATTCTCTAAATACATCATTGATATTTATCATAAAAAAAAAGGAAAAAATCCTCTGAATACATACATCATAGTCAGGTAATTATCGTTAAAAACCAAAATTAATTACAAATAAAGTAATCAGTTACTATGCCAACACATTAAAACATGACTACAAAACGGAATAAAGAATTAAAGAATATATTGATATATTCAGTTTAGTTAATGATGCAAATATCACAAAATAACAACAGAAACAGTATAGGATTGAACACTGCTAAAGGTACAAATAAACAATCATCTATCTTAAGTCTGGTACTACAAAGAAAAAGTGAAGATCTAAGTTTGCATAAAAAAAAAATGAAGTAAAAAATGGGTATTGCTTTTTTAAACTTTAATTCATAATTTAAAAGTAGTTAGCAGATTGGCTAGAAGTTTAATGAATCTTTAGAAAAAAGTGATTTGAGGACTAAAGCAAAGCACTGACAAAGTATTTTTTTTTCATTTTGTTAATCAAGAGGCCCTATAGTCTGCTCCCATCATTGTCTAAAGAAACAAATACATATTTACAATCAATGTTATATTTCAAGAAGATGTGTGCAGGTACCGGTATATGATTTAATGTTAATTCTATGGAATGCTGATTTAAATGTAAACATTTAATTTGTAAGCTCTGTGTGAGTTCCTTAAATAATTCACGATCGTAAATCAACAATTCAAATAAATAAATGAAACAAGTAAATAAATAGCTTACAGTATTTTGTTCACCCTCCATATAGCACTACAGTATGTAATATATCCACAATAAGGAGTAATCAAACCAATAGTCGTATGTAATTTATACTACAGAAAAAAACTTCCAGCTGCTCGTATTATATCAGTCTTTTTATAACCCTGATTCGTATATTGTATATTGAAATGCCACGGTTACCACATGTGTCTTCAGATGATTGAGAAAAGCAATAAAAGTCACTAAATCTCACTAGCTAATGTAATAACAATTATATATTATTTTGACTAATAAAAATAGTCCTATTTTCACCGTAATCAATTTTTTTATTACCTAGTAACACTAACCCAGACAGTTGGTTTTAATCATTTATGTATCAAGTTTCTCAGTCACTTCAGTTGATTTTAAAATTAAAATAACCAATAACCGACTAATAATTCAAACAAAAGTTTTGATTTTGTATACACATAAAATGGATATATCTTAAAAAATAAATCAGCAACTTTTGTTCCATGTCCTCTTTAAGTAAGGTACAACCTCAGAAATTGAGACAACCATCTGCATAATTTCTTTTATTACAATATATGAGAGATTAATTTAGATTTCTATTCTTTTTTCTGTTTCTTAATTAGAATCCATGATAACGTCATTTTAAATCTTGCTCAGAATCCATGATAACGTCACTTTAAATCTTGCTCAACATTCTATGCTTTTTTCTGTTTCTTAATTAGAATCCATGATAACGTCATTTTAAATCTTGCTCAGAATCCATGATAACGTCACTTTAAATCTTGCTCAACATTCATGTATACTGTATTTTCACTTCTGTTCATATCAGCAACAGAAGAAATAAACATTTATTACACTTGTGTGCATCTCGGCTAATCTTCTAAGGGTGGGCTGTGCACCTTATGCTAGAAAAAAATGTTGATTTGATCTTTTAATTCTCTGGCGTCAAACCAATTTGCTCATCATCCAAAAGGTTAACAACCCAGAATAGCTTTACAAATGGAACTCCATTTAAACAAAGTCAAAAAAGACATTTACTTGAAAGTCTTAATCACATCAGTTATCTGTGTAATGCATTTAAAGATGCATGTTTAATTGATATCAATCCTCAGAATTATCAGCAAGATGAATTAATGATCTCAAAATAGTTTAATGTAAACAGCTCCTGATACCATCAATGAGACACTAAAGTTTCAATGCCTGCCTAACAAATCCAACTCGCTCCAAAACACATCCAATCCAAACGCATGCAGTCTGTCAGAGTTCACATGATCATCAACCTTCTGAACCAGTATTCTTTTTTAAAAAAAACAAAACACCAATTCTGTTGAACACAAATATATAGTTCATTATAACATCAATTCTATCCCTCTAAGGCAACTTCATCAAAAAAACCTATTCATTTCATTAACTTGTAGAGATATCAGTCCATTTCAGCTCTTTCTAATAATAACCTAACATTAATGTTATTAGGATAAAATACATTTGCCTAAATTAGGTCCCTTAGGGCTCATTATCTCCACATAAATTGGCCTCTAGTTTCATGTACCATAGACCAGAAGTTAAACAGTTTTTTTCCCCATTAAACCAATGATAAAATCTGGTGTGTCTTAGATTAAGGGTTCGTGTTAAAAGACGAAGAAGTTTCATGATGTTGAACCATCTTTCTTTCATCTTCTGATTATGTATCGACATCTAGTTTTATATCCTAGACTGCTGCTTCTCTACTTTCATTGAACAAATATCCCTTATATTCTCCTTTACCAAATTCTGTTTCCCAACCTACTGGTATATGCTTCATCCATCACAATGATAGCAATTAAAAGAGATCCTACCAGACATGTATATACAAATAATTTAATGTGATTTCATCAGACATATTCATATCAAATTGTGTGCAAAATTTGTGGTCACTCCACCAGTTAACACTGATTTTCTGATGATTTTATTACTTTTCAAACCGTAAAAAACATTTCTCCAAGTTTGCGGTTGGATTTTCAATCATTTCTTCTTTAAATCAGAACCAAATTCTCTAGAAGGGGTCACTATAGACAACTATTTATTGTGCCCCTGTATAATAATTTAAGTATGGAGCGTTTGATATTATTTTTAATCAAATACATAAACAAATACATATGTGTATGTCACTAATTGAGATCAACAATTTTCATGCTTCACATTATTTTTATCAAATCAAGAAAAAAACTGATCTGAATTTCGTCATATCAAACTTGCCAAATTTGACTAGTCAGTAGCATTTGTAAATTGCTATTGAGCATTAACAATTCTCCTTAACAGATTATCTTACAGAGTACTGGTAACTCCAGTAGAAATACCAATGATTTCAGCTGTAATCTTGTAGACAATAGTTTATCTATGACTGTATATCTTAATACAATTAGAGTAGAAAAGATCCCTGTCTTTAAGAATCTTATTACTTACAGGAAGAAAAAGTATATCTGATAAGATGATGAACTGTTCTTCATTTAAAAAGAAATATGAGCAAAATTCATTGACATTTATATGAAATTATCTATAACCTTTTCTTATATTTATCTTTCGATCATTGTAGACAAAGTATTATTTATTCATGTTAAACCAGCCATTTTTTTACTAAGGTTCTTGTAAAATGCACCGAGAAAAACATTTATTTGAAAACAATTTGTCTAAAACATTTATATAGCCCACCATTAGCAATCTATTCAGGTGTACATTAAAATATCATTTAGGAGCACAGACCGATAAGATTCACTTTTATTACATACCATAGAAAAACAGGCTGAAAAGATTCATTTTTCTTACATACCATAGAAAACCGAAGCTGCATCCTGTTTTAGATGCTTTAATCTTAATTTAGATATTTTACTGTTTTATATACTGAGGTGTAATTACAATGCACCAATGACAATCGTCACTTATGGTTAAATTTGTTTTAACATTATCCATTATTCCATAGTTACCTTTGGATACTAATATTTGAATAGATACTTGTATTTTGCTTTGTATGTTTGAGTGGGGATGTTTTTCTATATGATTCCTACTGAAGCACAATGAATTATCACTACTACACTAGTGTTGCCAATGTGAAAACAAAACTGCTTTGTGTAATATGAATACAAATCCAGCCTTAAAAGAATGAATTCTTAATGTGTCTTTAAAGAAGATAACAATTGAAAGATATGAATGACTGAATAATGATATATTTTATTTGAGAGTTAAAATCATTTTAAAAAATCAGAATCAATAGTTCCACTAGCGCTGGCACTGTAGCAAACTGCTAATTAAAGGTTTGTTAAAAAGCCAATTATAGATTGCTGACATCTACTACTTCCCTTCTACAAGTTACATGGCCACCCGGGTTTGTTCAACATTTCTCTATGTAATAACAAATAAGTTAAGACATAGACTAGGTACCTAGAGATAAAACACAGCTTTATTAAACAAGTGAAGAATGACACATGGTTCTTTCTGTGAAACTAGATAACAAGAATACAATCTCTTAATTTATTTCTATTGTTCCAGACCATAAAATAACATCTCCAACTTCCAAAGTAGCACTAACACTGGATTCCAACGAAACTAGATCTTATTTTGTTTCTCTCTGATAAAAGGTGTGGAGCTTCAATACCTGTACATGAAAGGATAAACACGTAAAGCATGCATGAAAGCCTAAGAATCACCTTCTTTAATAGCAAGTTTCATTTACACCAAGCACAGACTTGCAAGTCTGTCTACAACTTCAAGTATATAATCAGGTTGCAAAATTATTCCCACTCAAACTGACAAACTTGAAACTTTCGGCAGTACATAAACCTGTTATTTTTTTTTAAAAAAAATATTTCTTAAATAGACTTTTGTACCTTCTATAGTTACTGGTCAAGAATGTTAAAGACACAATGTCACAGAAAGACAATAAGCATCTTAATTTTCCAAATATGAGCCTCGATATTCATGGATAAAAATCAGTTATCGTTCAGATGTCCATATACAATTACAAGAAATAAAAGATGGTGGTGTGAAATCAACAGAAAATAACCTGAACTCCAGATGGCCATA